GAAATGCATACAGGTAACCAATCACTTGTTAATCATTTGCCAACCAGTTAGCAAACAATTAACACGCTCTAGTTATATCCGGAGTATTTCCTTCCTTTTCCGACAAGGATTGGCATGCAAGCAATCACAAGAGTCTTGTAAACCTGTGTTTAAACGATTTGACAACCCAGTGAGTGAATGAATCAATTGTCAACCGATTGTCATACTTACAGTATTTCTAGAACCCGGCCGGGCATTGTAGCCCTTATATTACATGCATTAATGCAAATGTCACATATCCACATGATCATTTTCTCCGTGCAATAAATGGTTGTACACAGCTTGATATGGTCTTCCTAGAAGAACTATTCAGTGAGAATGTGGTTAATGATTTTGAGGCTTGTAACGTTATTGAACCAAATTCTACACGAAAAAGAGATTGTGGTATGAAGTATTTACTAACTGATTTACCATCACTTGCTAATTGTTTGGAAATCACTTAGGATTTGATCACCCACGTGGTTCTGGTCGCTTGATTTCTCTCAAGTGTTCAGTTATCTTTCATGCCTTCCTGCCAAACAATATTGAATCCTGTCCTTGGCTGCTCTTCGTTTCACATGGCAAACATACACATCCACCACCTCCTCCTAGCAAGCCACCTAGAGTTGTTATGAAACGTATAACACAGCTGGTTTCAAACATGATAACACCAAATCTAACATTAAGTAAGTATTCGTCAATCGCTTGCCAATCACTTTGGAATTGCTTACCAAGTAATTTAGCCTCCTTTTTGAAGTCACCGGCTCTTGAAGAACTTTGTCTTGAAAACAATACATCCTCCTTGTCAAACATACATGCAAGCTTGACAAATATGGATCGAATATCCACAATTATCCGCAAACAACGGTTACTTTGCTATCCAGAGGGACAGGGATATAATAGTGTTTTGCTGGAGCAAAGCCGTAATCCAGCAATTAAGGTTAGAATTACTCAATCAATTGTGAAGTGCCTGCAGACTGATTGTTAATTGATTTCCAGGAATATATTCAAAAGATGTATCAAGATCCTGAAGGTCTAATGATCATCTGCATATTGAAAGATCAGGCAAGATTACTCTCAGAGCTTAATTTCTTCGAGGTGGATATGTCTTATAAGCGCCTGAAAGGCTCTAACCTAAATGAAGTGGTGTTTGCAACCTTTCTGGCTCAACATGCAAAAGGTAAGTGTTTTATAACTGATTTCAAAGTGGTTGTCAAGCATTTGCTAACTGATTTATTAAGTTATTACGCTTGTGCGTGTGTTTACGGAGCATGATAGTAAGAATGGGTACTATCTTCTATTCAAGCGGGTATTCGATGTTATTGAAACACTCATTGGTTGTTCAATAGCATGGTTTCATTTACATGGAGTGGGAATTGAAGGAGTTGGATTAGATATGGACCGAAAGCAAACAGATGGTATGATAATAAGTGTTTGATAATTGATCTTCAAGTGATTGACAAACACTTAGGCCTTGCTCTCTATCTAACTGAGATTGACACGGATCACCGGGATCGAGATTGGCAATTACGCAATATTGTCATATTCTCTCGAGTACATTTCATGCGTGGAATTACTCAGGCAGTTGGAGCAAGCGATAGAGGCATTGGCATTTATAGTCGCATGGCAAGCTTGTTGGACTGTCATTCACAAGAGGATTATATGCAACTATGCAATCTACTGATTGGTAAGTGGTTCACAATCAATTCCAAAATGCTTAACAAATACTTATCTCAAATCAGCACATGAAAATCAGAAGGTTCAGGACTGGGCAAGACACAAAAAAGATATTATTATTGCTTCAGGATTGAACAAGCATTGCAGTTTGATTCCAGAGCATATATATGAGAGATTACGAAAGCATACTAATGCCGCGGAAAAAACTCATAATAAATCTTATGCTTTTGGCAAACATGAGTCTCTATTGCAGGCTTTGACCAGGCAAGTGATTCTCAATCGCTTGTAAACTGATTACTAACCAATTATAGCTCATGGAAACTTGATAAGCGTGATATTTTGCAATATTATGCACGCGAGGATTATGGCGTTTGTCACTCATATCAATCAAGTAATATTGAGTCTCTATATCACCGGCATATTCAACGTGAAGGTGAGAAACCATAAACTTGTTATAATATATCAGAACTGATTGTTAACTGACTACTAATTACTTTATAGAAAGTGTTCAACGTCGGCGGTCCTACTCACAATTTCGTGCCTCAACTGAAGATGTAGTGGATATAGACACTAGATCCCAAGCCTCTACTATTTCTGCTGGCTCATCTTTGGGTAATCTGGACTCTATTTCTCAAAGATCTCCAAGGCCAGCCAGAAGAGCACGGTAAGTGATTCTAAATCATTTGCCAACCACTTGACAAGTACTTATCTGCACCTTAGGTCTTCCCAAGTTCCATTACGTCAACAAGCCTCTCAAAACATTTTGAGTCAGACTACTGAGCAAAAGTCTGTTGATTTTCAGGCAAGAAAAGAACAGCTTGAATTGGATTTAATGGCGGAGCAGCTAAAAGAAAGACAATTAATGAATAAAGAACGAGAAATAGCATTACAGGAACGGGAGGTGGAGTTAGCTCGGAAGAAACAATGCCTAGGACTCTAGCTACTAAAAATAATAATTAATCACTTATTAATCAGTTCATCATTATTCATTGATCATTTGGCCCCTCCTATTTAACATGAAGAAAAAAAACAACTGCTTGACAAAAGTGTTTTCACCTGACCTAATCCTCTGGATCAAAATCATCAAAGACAAGGCAATTCTCCACATCTTGGATACAAGCTACAAACTGATTAGCAACTGATTCACAACCATTTGGTAAGTACTTACTGATGCCCTGTTCCTTGCAATATTTGCAAGGGAACTCAATGCCGAGCTCCTTGCAAAGCTTCCTCATAGCCGTAAGATTTGGCTAATTAATCAATTGGTAACTGACAAGTGATTGGGGACAGTTAAACTTACTGCTTTGCCATCCTTCCGCCAGATAATCTTTGGAAGTTCAGCTAGGTTTATGTTAAACAGTTGTCAAATGATCAATAATCAATCAAACTTACCCATTGCCTGTCCATCATCACTTGCTAATCATTTGTTAACCAATTGTAAATTGAGCAAGAAATATTTGCACTCACCATCATTGTCATTCTCCCCATCCCCATCGTCCCCATGCTCCCCATCCTCATCCTCATCCTTGTCATCATCATTATCTAATGACCAGTTAAGCAATTGACAATCAACTGGCAAGCAATTGGATTTACCATCCTCATCATCCCCATCATGATCAACCAATGACTTATAAAATGCTAAACAATTAGCAACTATCTCCAACTGATTCACAATCACTTACCAACGGCCTTATCAATATCTGCTTGACTGGCTCGGCCCGAACCACCATCATACACCGTAATATTCTTATGTGAACGGATGTGGCTGCGGAGATTGTTGGTGGCCGAAAACGGTTTCTAATCAATTGGCAACCGATTAGTAGCCGCTTGCCAACCAATTATGAAATAACCTACCTTTGCCTTATAGCAGTCCTTTACCCGGCAGAAGACCTCCCCATAGTGCAGAACAACAGACCCCAGCATCTGTACAATCAGTTATTAACCGATTGGTAACTGATTAGCAAATGATTGTGTTACTCACCGTCGTGTACTCAGGCAGGACAATCTCTCCACTGGCAACACCCTCAAGATACCGTTGGTAGTAGGCCTATCAATTCAATCATTTTTTAATCAATTTTCATCAGATTCCATAAAAATAACACATTTAACAACTAAATCTACTCACATTATCGCGTAAATGAGCCATCTTGGCCAAAAAGGGGGGAAGGGGGGGCGAACTGCTTGGGAAATGCTTGGTAAAGGTAAGAAAAAAAATCTTACGTGACTTGTTTTTCAAGAGGTGCGCTCTGCTTAATAAGCATCACGTGATCTTAACGAGGTCCAGCCTGACTTACATAGGAGGTCCGGGTGATCTGGTAGAAAGATCCCTCTAAGCCTAGTTAAAGAGGTTAGCAAGGACGCTAATTGACACAACCCGCCGAAATCTGCACCTACAGAATTATACAGAGTGGACGCAGTACTCTGTACGGAGCCCAGCGTGAAGCACTCTCAAAACATGAAATCTGAGGCTCCCAACTTTTCCATCGCCTTCGTATGCAGGTCCGATCGTAAGCCTCGGTAGGCTTTCTCCACACAACGAATAGCTCCCCGCCGGTGACCTCATTACATCCCATCCAGTCCTCCAGGGTCCAATCTTTATTGTGCAATTGCGGGTCTTAGTCTTCTTTCCCTTGCAGCTTCAGTCAGGCCAAGTTTCCAAGTGGACTTCGCAAGGACACAGCAATGCTTGTGAAGAATTTGCACAATGCTGGGGTGGAATATACCAGTCTGCAATGCAAGGGCTTCAGTTGATTTCTCCCCTCCAGATTGATCTTTTGTTACAGTGTGATTGACCTCAGCTCCCTTTTCTGGATCTATTGCTTTTGGGCGCCCAGAGCGAGGCGCATCTTCAACATAGCTGATATCAACCAAAAGGCTTCTCTGCGGGTCAAACCCACGTTCTTTGGCTTGCGGATAACATAGAGGGTGTTTACAGGAATGTTCAGCCTTGCGGAAATTTCTTTAATGGGCATTCCAATACCCAAAAGTGTAAGAGCTTGGATTCGAGCAGCAATGGAATGGAAGGTATTATTAGGAGGCATCCTCAATCCTTGATCAACAAAGAATGATTCCTAAATGATAGGATGAAAGGTGGATGGAAAGCCGGCTGTCGAGGGAAGCTGTCGCTTGGAGGATCGACGGTGACCTCCTTTTTCGTCCTAATTTGGCGGGACAGCCATGTACTCCGTACTACATATGTATTTCTGATACGCCGAATCTTAACTAACTACTAGTGAACTCAAAAATCATTCGGGTCCAACACCTCCACATATATGTATGTACTCCGCGCTCAAAACCTTCTAATATCAATACCAGCCAACTCCTCCACTGCCACCTGTGAATTTGAATGCAGGCTTTCTACCAGATGTTCTTCCACTGCGAAGCTTAATGCATTTCATGCTACTAGAAGGCTCCCATTCCTCACAAGCTTTTGCTTCTCTGGCTACATTTAGCCCATCTAGGCCCTTCTGAGCCTTCTTTTTCTCTGCAACAGTCTCCGCAAGCCAAGCATGACAATGCCCCTTCTTATGGTATGCACTCCCTGCACATCTGCAGAGCGCTTTCGCAGTAAATCGTCCGTGCTATCATCTAGCCATGTCATATTAAAGATTCATCGTCACAGTCATGCTGTTGCTATGCACAAGTAAGCAAGGTGGGAGGCCACTGTACAATACCTCTAAGTCACTCAAGTACTGCTGGCTTGCCCCGGGATCTCGACAGGTCCCTTCTACAGGAGACGGGAGCGTGGTCATGATAACCGCAGTCTTCTTGCTATGTGACTTCATCAGCTCGTTCACAATGAGATGCTGCGCACGGCGTGGGAGATCGTTAAATGAGAGTGGAACAGAAGCCTGTAACGGATAGCCCGAAGCACGGTCGGCCCGCGCTGACGACTCCGGCCTGGGGTGGTCGGGGGAAGAGGGTCGCTTGTAGATAGACGAAGAGGATCTGGGCCCAGGCCGTCCCAAGTCTGTTGCGGCGAACATGATCGATGGTCCTGTCCCCTCCTCCGTCGCGACCTTCGTTTCTGGTATTGGCGCCGAAGAAAACCTCACCGTTGAAGAGGTTCTGACCATGCCTGATTTGTCCCGAGAAGGCGCTGTCCCCTCAGCTTTCACCCTGCTGATTGCTGGGTGCGTGGGACAAGACGTCGAAGCTTCCGTTCCGGAGTCCTCTGAATCAGTCACGGCAGACTCCGATACAGAACCTACGCGACGTTTTCTGGCGTCGATACGTGGCTTTCTTGGACTCCCTAGAAATGCTGACCTTGGAGTTGTCCTGGCTTCCGCCGGTGACGATGGCTCATCCCCTATGTCCTCTGCATCTGCATCCACGTCTTCATCTTCGTCGTCCGCTTCGCTCACATATGCTTCCATTTCACTTCCTCCACCGGACGATGACTCCTCACTTTCATCAGGATGGTAGTCGACCATGGAGTCCAAGAGGCGTTGGGTTTGCATGCCCAGGCTGACTGCCATACCGCCAAGGCTTCCTACAGATCTTCTTCTCCGGGATGACTCGATAAACTTTCGTAGGGGGCTGTTTTCGTGCTCCTCTTGCGAGCGTAGCCACGTAGGGTGTGGGCGTGAAGGTTGCCCCGATCTTCCCTTCGTTCGACGGTCATGTTCTCCCTTTCGGAATCTCTTGATCTCCTGCCACCAATCCTCCTCTTCCAGAACAGAATCAACCCGTGCCCTCTCCGCCAAAGCGGCTTGTTCTCCATTCACGATGATTTTATAAGATTTAAGTCCCCCACTCGCAAGCCAGAACACGAGCACTTCAGCTTCGATCCGCAGCTTCTCTAATAACGTTGCAACCCTTCCACGCTCCTCTTCGACGTCCGTCTCATACTCCACGAATACCGCCACTCTCAACTTGTAAGAATTCTTCCAGGATGGCACCGTATGAAGGATACATCCCAGCTGTAAAATAAGCGTATACGTGTCAAAGTTGGTTGTCACAATATTTTGGCTGCTGTAACACCCTTCACCAGAAAACTCTGCAGACATCTGGATGGGCCAAAGGTCGATGTACCGTTTGGTACCACGCCCTGTAGGGCTGGGTAGCTCCAGATCCTCAAATCCTCGCGCGATGGCAACGTTAATTCGAAGCTTGAAAAGAAGATCCTCCAATACAGTCACGTAGCTTTGTACACTCATCGAGTATGCCTTGTCGATAACCTCCATCCCAGGACCCTGTCGAGCACTTGTCCTTCCACGTGCGGGCACTGCGTTGTCGTCACCCTCTGCGCTGAGCCGCCCGCTTTGTCGGCGGAACTGATCGATGACAACGATGTTAGGCCTCATGCCCCCCAACCCGGAATTCAGAACTACATTCCTCACTCCCCATTCGATTGTAGGGGCCACCGTAACGTTAACAAACGCTTTGACTTTTGAATATTCGACAAATTTATTCCATAGCGTCTGTTCTCGCCTTGCTTCAGGTACCGCACGTGCAAACTCTTTAGTCACAAGAATATGGCCCAGCACGAACAATCCGCCTTTCTTCAACGAGTTGCAGAAATGTATCATTTTGTACTGCACGTCAAAGTTGTCAACAAAGAGGAGTACCTGTGGGCGCCAGAACTTCACATGTTCGGGGCGGAGGCGTAGCAGATATTTTCGAACTTGATGATAAATCAAGCTTTGGCTAACATCGCCCCATGATTTCGGAGGCGTGGTGTAGTGGATAAGAAGAAACAGGAGTACCAAAACGCAAACGCACCCCGCCGCGTATACACCATCAACGAAAAACATACTAGTGCCACTAACCAATGCCCCAGCTAGTGCTGTCCAGGAGTTGAAATAATGAAACGAAGGGCGGAAATTTGGTGCAGACCCAATTTTGAGTAAGAAACACGCAAGATTTGTCACTAGAAATGTCATTAGATAAATCATAGTGATAAACGACGCAATCTGATTGATATCAAGCAACATTGTCAACTGCGCGATAACAAAGGTAAATATAATAGCTCGCGTAGGCTCATCGGTCTTTGGCGTTCCTCTGGCAAAAAAGGAGACGCCGGGAATGAGATCATCTCTGGCAATAGCCTGAAGTAGCTTTGACGCGCCGATGAGGCCCATCAGGGCCGAGAAAAAAGTGGTTGCAAATTCTCCGAGAACGATGAGAGCAGCGGACATATTGATCTCCGGAAGTCGGTTAGCAGGAGTGTATGGTGCAGGAAACGAAAAAAGGTACTTACATCTTGTATAATATTAACATCTCTATATAAAGATTCTCTTGTCACTGTAGAGGCAATCACCAAGATCACAATAGTATAAGTGGCAAACGTCAAGCCGAGTCCGGATAGGGTACCTTTCGGGATGGATCGACTTGGGTTCTTCAAATCACCCGACATACTTGCGCCCCTGTATAGGATTAGCACAGGCAAGGAGCAGAGCTGGTGTGCTTCTCGGGGACGACACCTACGCAAATATTCCCCCCGTTGCAGGGTACAATATGCCAAACAAATTTTGGAAACTCTCCTTGCCTGGGATCTGGCTTCCTGCCGCTCCTTTGGTGAATCCCGGTTTTAAATTCCCAAGGAACGTTGTCAGGCTAAAGCCGGTGTACTCTATACCAATTTTATGGTTTGCGAATGGACCGAGTAGTAGCGGGGAGAGCGGAATGCTATATGTCGCCACTAGCAGGACTGCAAGGAGTCCATTACTAGCCCTAGCGAACATTGAGCTCCCCGCCAAGCAGATCCCTGTGCACAAGACCAAAACTATTGTACCCCAGAGGTACTGCCACCAGAAGCCTTCCAGGAGGAAATTAGACAAAGAACCCGATGCGGAACCAAAGCTCTGGGTCAGACAATCAACCAAACCAACAGCGTTCATTCCTGTGTTGAACACACAGCCTATGTAGAATACGGTGCCAATAGAGCCTCCAAATTCAGGTCCCAAGGAGCGTGAAATAAGGTAGTAGGCACCGCCACCTCGAACGGTTCCATTGGTTGCGATTGCAGATATGGACATTGTCGTAACCAAATTAATCATATACGAGGCAACAAGCATTCCTGGGAACACGGTTAGCGGCCAACATACATGATGGGAGGGTCCTGGATACTGACCCAACATTCCCAAGACCCCGCTCTGCCCAAGGATGAAGCCGAATCGAAGGAACATGAGAATGCTCAGAACATTTAAAGTTGTAGGAACAAAGACACCGGAAAATGTTCCAAGCTTTTTCGATACATCAACCAGGGTGGACGGAAAGGGACCTTTTTCCTTCCGATCTAGAAAGTCAAGCCTACCGGGAAGTTGGGAGGAGAGCGACGCCCGCCGGATCCTGGTGGCACTCTGCGCCCTTTGTGAGCGCCTATCTCCATTTCTGCTGATACTTCTGCGGCTGGATGAGTTCACAGTGCTCTTTTTCCAACCTTCAAACGGCAGCGAGGAAGCAGATGCAGACCGCATAGGCTGATATGGCTGCTCTGTCTCGGGAGGGGGAGACTCCCCGTCAGCCGCTGACATTCCCCGACCAGTGGCATCTCCACCAGCATCTCCGCCCATCATGAGCAGTGGTTCGCGTTTCGTTATCAAAGGAGGCTGATCATGGTTGTGTCCAGCCAGCTCTATTCTAGGTATCGTGGAAAGACAATACAAGCAGGGTTCAAGCAGCATCGCCGTCAACCGCGATGGCTGACATGCGCCGTCGTCATAGCTGATTATGTAAGTGTCAAGCCGCTAGTCTCTATGTAGTTAGTTACTTACCTGTTTCCAGCTGCTCGGCAGGGATCTTCCTTGATCCGATGAAAGTTTTTCCTCCCATTTTAGGGCCTGTAGTCGAGAGTCTTGAGAGCGCCCGACTTTGATCGGTTTTTGTGGTTCCTCGAGCCTCCCGTGCATGCTTCGTAGGCCAGCTGGTTTTGAGAATTCAAACGGTTTCATACAAGTACCAGGTGTTCCTATACGGAGTACTCCGCAGACCGACCAAAATTGCCCTACACCGACCAGTGATCATGCACGTCACCAAAGTACGGTACAATACAGTTCCTAGTCCATACGGGTACGTAGTTATACGGGAGTAGCCGCCCGCGGTCGTTAATTACACCCGTACCGTCGTAAATCGCACTACGGCACGTTATCGTCCCAACGGCTCTTGTCAGATAAAGCTACGGACAGCTCGCAATGGCGTCAGCTGACTCGCCTTGACGTCCACAACTCTCCCGTCCGCCAGCCATCCTCCTCCGACCTCGATTTCACGGTTGGGAGCTTTCCTCAGATAGATTAACTCTCTACTCCGTACGTCTTCGTTATTTACTGGCTCTTCCTCTTCCTTTCATCTTTAATACCTTTCCGGGATCGGCCGCTGCTACACTGGGACTGGCTGAGCAGACCTAGCCCTGCGCTTCCCAACCTCCCACACCAGCAGAATGTCGGATGCCGATGAGAGAGAACCGCAGCAGGACTCCGTGCCAATAGCAGCGCCGTCTGCCTCTCCCGGTCTCCCTTCTGAATCCCCCGCCTCGACCTCTCTTCCCAGGCATGTCGCTACCGCCCGTCTCGCCTCCCCGATTCCAAACAATGCAGAACTCCAGGACGCATCCTCGAGGAGAGCAGCGACTCCGCTCCAAGCCGTAGCCGAGAGAGAGCCAGATTTCAAGGGCAAGGCTGTTGCATCATCGCCAAATAAGCCTGGAGACTCCATATTGACTTCGGGACTTCGAAATGTGTCGTCTTCGCCGGCACCAGAAGAACCGCCGTCACGATCTGGCTCTCCACCATCGGCAGAAACTGGCCCGAAATTCAATCTTACGGGCGAAGAAAATAGCCCTCGCAACACTCCCGCCCCGACAGAGAATCCGCAGATTATCCGGAGGCACCTAGTCCAGCCTCAAGGCAACACCTCGGAGGTCAACAATGAGAATTCTTCTGAATCAGAAGATAGCACTGTCAAGAATCCGGCTGATGTGGATGAATTCTCTAGTTTACAGCTCCAAGGCGGGGATATCACTCGCCCTGTATACCGGTGGACTGAGGAAGCAGAGGCCCAGGAGGCATCAAGGCGCCGGCGGAGCTTCGACGTTCCTCGGCCAGAGCCTGAGAGTGCGACGTTGGACATTGGCTCGATCAAGATTCCAGGAGGATTTCGAAGAGATTATCTCCGCAGGGCAGCTGGAGGCGCCGAAAGCAATGGTCTTCATTCATCTACTGGGCGCGACGGGCCGCAGCTACCCACACGAAGCTTCCTCGAGTTCTTAACGCTGTACGGACACTTTGCTGGCGAGGAACTGGAAGAGGATGATGAAGCTCTTGGTCCCGATGAATACTTCGTTCCCGAGCTATGGCGTGAAGGGGAGGAGGAGATTGGTGAAGAAACCGCGCTTCTCCCGCCGGGTGCTCCAGGAAAACACCCTCGAAGGCATAGGGATCGCGCCCCCAAAGCTACCAACTCCGCCACTGGTGCAATGCTACTGTTATTAAAGTCGTTCGTGGGCACAGGAATTTTGTTTCTCCCCAGGGCCTTCCTTAATGGCGGTATGCTGTTCAGTTCGGTCGTTTTGGTGACTGTGTCTCTTCTAAGCTACTACTGCTTTATCCTTCTCATCAGCACAAGATCAAAGATAGAAGGCTCCTTTGGCGACATTGGTGGCGCCCTATATGGAAAGCACATGAGGAGAATCATTCTCGGTTCCATAGCCCTTAGCCAGTTCGGTTTTGTTTCGGCTTATACCGTTTTTGTTTCTACGAATTTGCAGGCTTTTGTGCTCGCTGTGAGCAAGTGCAAAACTTTTATCAGTATTCAGTTTTTGATACTGATGCAGCTGATCATCTTTCTTCCTCTCTCCCTTATTCGTGACATCAGCAAACTCGCATTCACTGCGCTTATCGCGGACGCTTTTATTCTCCTGGGGATCGTCTATCTCTATGGGGTTGATATCAAAACCATTATTGACCAGGGTGGAGTTGCGGACATCAAAGCATTTAACCCGCAGAGTTGGCAACTTCTAATCGGGACTGCTATTTTCACGTATGAAGGCGTCGGTCTTATAATCCCCATTCAGGAGTCTATGAAACGCCCCCAGCAATTTCCACGAGTTTTGGCGCTTTGTATGATTGTTATTACCGTGATATTCCTTTCCAGTGGTGTGCTCGGATATGCGACGTTCGGCTCTGCCACCGAGACCGTGGTGCTACTCAACTTGCCCCAAGATGATAAGTTCGTCAACGGTGTACAATTCTTATACTCCATCGCCATCCTCCTCAGCACACCTTTACAGCTGTTTCCGGCAATTCGAATTATGGAAAACGGATTGTTTACTCGGAGTGGAAAATATAACCCAGGTATCAAGTGGAAAAAGAACATTTTCCGGTTTTTCCTGGTCGTAATTTGTGCAGTGGTCGCCTGGGGTGGAGCTGCCGATCTGGACAAGTTTGTCGCCCTTGTGGGAAGTTTCGCCTGTGTGCCCCTGGTCTACGTGTATCCGGTATGTTACAGTTCCACTACCCGGTGCCATCTTTCGAGAGTCATCTTGGACTAATTTGATTTTGTAGCCATTGCTACACTGGAAAGCTGTCGCCACCACTCGATTCCGGCGATGGTCAGATATTGCCTTGGCAGTATTTGGCACACTTGTATGCATTTACACAACTATACTGACCGTACACAACTGGGTCGCTGGCTCAAGCGAACCCAGCAAACCTGGTCATTGCGACGTTTAATAAGAGAGCACGCTATCTAGATCAGAAAGTCCACGAGTATCCTCCTTCGACGATTCGCTACGTTCAATCAACCCTTTTCGAGGCTTCCGTCGCAGTTTTGATGACCTGTTTCCTATTACAATCTTCATTCCCTATTTCTTTTTGACCCTGAGCGTTCATCATGCGTAAGAGTGTTCATACATTTTGATTCGTTTTAGCGGGCACCATGCCATCTTATAGCAGTGTCCCTGGTGGCAGAAATCAAATGGAAATCAATCCAGATACATTTTTAACGAATTTGATCCGACCCATCCTTGAAAGCCAAGTTCCCCCACCTTTTCTTTTTTTCCCCCCTCTCGTTTTTTTCCTTCTCCGCCCACAGCGGGTTTTCCATACGGCGTTCTTTGATTACGATTCCCAAGGTTTTCCCTATTCTCGGTTCTCGCGCGCTTAGAGATTGCTGCAGACGATATACACATGTGAGATTGGACTGTGAACCGCTGTTAGCTTGGTCACAGCGACTGGCATGGGGAAAATTGAAAGATTATTTCTTGGAATATATAAGCAGTTGCATACAGTTTTGTTTGTTGATTTATATCTCATTAGTATCACCAGGTCTTTTAATGTCAAACAAATTAAATTCCTGGATGCTTCTACGCAGGAGACAACTGCAACAATGCAAAGTATATGTGCCTATGACAGCAAATATGCAAGACAAAACGTAACTAGTACATAAGAGGGAAAGGATGTTAAGAAAATGGCCTCATGGATTTTTTGTAGCATCAGCCGCTGTTTCGCCTTTCTCCGCGGCTTTCTTCGCAAGAAGAGCATCGCGACCACCCCAGCTATATCCATATTTTGTCAGCTTTATTCACTCAGTGCGAATTCATTCACTATCGGGCCGAGACACGGCGGAAAACGTACTTCCAATACTTCAAGTATCTATAGCCTTGCGTTAACTGCGCATTGAAATTGACGAAATGGCAAAGGAAGAGGAGATAGTTCTTAGGAGTGACGGCGAGTGAGTAACGCATAAATGTTCCGGAGTAGATGGTCAATGCGGCTGTCATTTGGCCGGAAATACTGCAGGAGATCAGTGTCGATTAGTCGCCAGCGTTCAGCAACGCAAAACGGCAAGAGAGGGGAGCTTCATCGCAACATGGACGACATGAGTATTTCAGTACACACATTTCGGGATCCTTCTGTGTATCCATCACCGCAGCAATAGGGATTCCAAAATTCGATGCCGGTCCCCAGAAGTCTAGAAACAAAGAGAAATCCAAAACGTCAGTATCAGCGATCCACGGAAATTCAGCCCTATCCCGCCAATAGAACTACTCGATCATAGGAGAAAATCGGCTCTTGCTCATCTCTATCAACAGGATACGCCGTGACTTGCAGCGACGAGAACTTAAAGGGCATGACATACGCGTGGAGCAGAAGTAGTCGAGGACTTTATTCGACCGTATCTTCGCATTGATAGCCTTGATTGCCGCCGCCATTTTAACAGGAGAAAGGAAGAACACAGCCGAAAGGGAGGAGGGAGAGGAAGAAGAAGCGGAAAGAAAAGGAGAGAATAAAAGCAATTGGAGATGGGGCAACGTCTTTGCTCTGACTGTCCTGCTTTGAAGTTGCGATGATGATCTTCCGTCGCTGCTGCTGATGTAATGCACGACGAAAACTCCGATATCCGGAGGATTAATTACGTCTAGTAAAATAACTTTGTAATCTCATGACAGCTCAGAGTCTGTGGAGACCGTCTGATAGGAAGACGGTGAATGCACTGGCAGCGGTTCTGACCAGAGCGAAAAAGAATGTTGTAGTGAATGGTGACACAGATACTCTATATTGAAACTGATCATTGCCAGACAGGTCCCAGCATCGCATAGTCACTGCTTGAGAACCACGGAATATAACATCTATTTTCAGCCAAAAGGCTGTGTGGCGAGATCCTCTGAAATATGACATGATATGATTTCTCATGTATCTCGATGGGCAATTGGAATAAGGAACACCACTTAAAGGTACATACATTCACATACCAAGCACAGGCTGAGGCCGGAAGCAGTGCCTTACTACCCGTGTTAAAGGGATAAAATGTTATTTTATGCTCTGGCCCTCATTCACCATCCCGCAAAACGCCGTTCGACATATAGACCCGTCCGAGGAAAAAGAAATTATCTAGGCAGCGCAGTTCCGGGAAAGCATGTAATTTTCTGGTAAATATCGACCGGTTGGGGGTCGGTGCGTACTTAACTTGCATCGTAATTCGCGGCTTCAGCTCGATATTACCGTCCTCCCATACCAGGAGGCATTCCTCTTCCTTGCCCAGGCGGTTGGAATCCAGGTGGTGGTTGAAATCCGGCTAAAAGAAAAAGGGGAAAAAAATATCAGCCATATCATCCAACACGAACATACGAATAGAGGTTGAGGAAACTTACGCGGCCCACCAGGCACGCCAGGACCTCCGAAGCCAGGAGGCGGCCCAAAACCCGCTGCAAAAAGCCCGTCAGCAAGCTTGCACCAACGACACATTCAGTTTTCACTTACGTGGTCCACCAGGAGGCCCAGGCGGTACTCCCCTTCCTGGAAAGCCTGGCGGCGGTGCACCAGGAAAGCCACCTGGAGGAAAACCACCGAATCCCGCTGGTGGGGGTGGCCCGCCAACACCCGCAGCTGGACCCCCAAGTCCAACCGGTAGTCCACGTCCAGCTGGTTTACTGATACCCGGTCCTGCCGCAAGCGTGGGTGGTGCGGCGCCAGGGACACCGGGAACTGTAGTGCCTAATCGTGCAGAGGGATCGGCTGGAGGTGGTCCGTCAACAGAGCACGATACAACATGCGTCCCACGGACAATCGTAAGCCCTAGTGTTCTCTTCTCTTCAGTCTCGACCAAAGGTCCATTGCCGCCTTGGGGTCCTTTGGCCTGTCTGCGCTTTACTTTGCGGAACTCTTCTGTATCTGCGAGGACCAAATTCATATGCTGCCAGAAGTCAGTGGCATGAAAGCACATAAAGGCAGTAGGTGAGACACGACCTTATCAAATGCGAGCATCTGCCCAGTCATCTGTCGTCCATCGTTCAATGTCACCCTCATTCTATAGTTGATCTGCGAAAGGTCAGCTGGGGGAACGCTCGAATATACCGAGAGGGATAAGAGCGGGAAATCTACGAAGCAACACATACGAGGTTTTGCTAGAAACCTGTTAGTTATTTTGCTCTGTCAACAAAAACTCGCCATCGCGATATGTCGGGGTCGCAGGTACTCACCATCTTGCCCTGCTTGTTCGCAGCCATGATGCTTCGAGGTGCGCACGAATGCGACTTGCAACAGCGTCAAACACAAATTGTATCTTCCAAACCAAACAATCGCATAGACTTTTCCCCGCCCCAAAAAAGAAAAGAGGACAACAGGAGAGGAGCGCACGCCGCAAGCCGGTTACTCTGGGGTTCGTGCAGATTTGGGGTTCGCGTTATGGCAGCTTTGGGAGGTCGACGGCGCTCTTCCCGATCGGGCCAGCGCCAAGCCGCTAAGGGTTCGGTCGCTTCGTCCCACACAGACACACAAGCCAAACCCAACGTTGAACCCTTCGAAAAGACGCTCAACCGACCAAACTTCCTTCACCGTCAACACGTCGACAACCAGCACAGAGTCACCATGGTGAGTACCATCCGTCCCCTAGCGCTCTCCCTTTCTTGCGCTCCCTTCAGTCTTTGGTATCTCTAACGGCATGCAGTCGGAGGGAAAGGACAAGTCCGCCAACCCCATGCGGGAACTCCGCATCCAGAAGCTCGTCCTCAACATCTCAGTTGGCGAGTCTGGTGACAGACTCACCCGTGCGGCCAAGGTGTTGGAGCAATTGAGCGGCCAGACCCCTGTCTACAGTAAGACTTCGACAATTCTTGTGTCCGCCCGCCCTCCCTAGGCTCACACATTCATTCTCTAGGCAAGGCCCGCTACACCGTCCGTACCTTTGGTATCCGCCGTAACGAAAAGATCGCTGTCCACGTTACCGTCCGCGGACCCAAGGCCGAAGAAATCCTTGAACGCGGCCTCAAAGTCAAGGAATACGAATTGAGAAAGAAGAACTTCTCCGAGACTGGCAACTTCGGTTTCGGTATCAGCGAACACATCGATCTCGGTATCAAATACGATCCCAGCATCGGTATCTACGGCATGGACTTCTACTGCTGCATGTAAGCTACCCTCCACGCCTGAACGGCTAAGTAAATGGCTGCGTTAACGCGAATTTCCTCGTTTAGGACCCGCCCTGGAGAACGTGTTGCCAAGCGCAGACGATGCAAGTCCAGAATCGGTGCCTCACACCGCATCAACCAAGCCGAGACTATCAAGTGGTTCAAGTCCCGCTTCGAGGGAATCGTTCGATAAAGTTAGTTTATGTGGTAATGCGGGTTTATGGGGTATTTCCTTTTTAGCCAGACTAGATCAATGCACGAGACATGACTGCTGATCTGGCAAAAATCTTTTGTCTATTATGGGACTTGTGGGCATAGGCATAGGCGTGCTAGCGATTTCTGACAGCAGTCCTCCAAATGAAAGAAAAACCAAGTTCTTCTGATGGCTCAATTTTTCACAATGGAGGCTTCACAAAAGGTGTTGGTCCGCTTAACCATTGCTGGAAAACTTGATACTTTCTGGGATTCGTCCTAGGCGGCCTCTTCGAGCTTGTCGACTCCCTACGCTTCACTGGCTTTGGGTTTCGACGGTTCGCTCTACCACGTCCAAGTCGTCCGTCGGAGGATAGTGGACTGGTCAGACCTTTCCTTGTCCTTTTTTCCCCGTGTGTAGCAGCAAAATCTCTTAAATCAAAAGCAGGTAAGTCTACCACACCGTGCCAATGCTATGCGATCATGCGACAGTAGACTTGCGATCTCCAAAAACTGCGACTTCCCTTTGCTTTGTTTAAGCGGTGGTTGCCCACTTCTTGACCATCCCGCCGCTCAAGTGCGTTTGTCATCCAAGCTCAAGTGATCGCCTCGTCAACCATCGCTGGGGTGGTCCAGTTGGTTTTAATACATTTTAGGAACTCAGTTGTGGTGGTTGCGGCTCGGCACTTTGTATTTTTACATACTGGTGCAGAATGGCTAGAATCAGATTCAATATAAATTTATACCAGCAACCGACGATGTACAAGTATGTGCTACTCTCAGGCCATCCTTTTTGAAGAGGCTTGGTGGAATCCCCCCATGCAATCCCCCTTGCAGCGAAAGCTGTAATCCATGACCTCTTAGAAGCCCAAACTGAAAACTGAAAACCGAGTGCGGCCCAACCGGCAGTATTTCTTCAACCAGCTATCAGCTAACGGCTATAAAGCAACAACACGAGCAAATATGCTACGGCCTTTTTCCTCCTGGGTTTTTAGGCCGAAACACTGCCGATGCCTCGGGGATCACTCCTTGCGGAGCCCATGCCGTGGGCCTCGAGTGAATCTACAAAACTCCCCCAATCCAATTAGTCCCTCGAAGGTATGAAACAGAGCATGGACCAAGGGACAGGGACGGTCAAGGGGAGACTCACGTATCCCACCACCTGACAAACCACCGGGCATCCTCCGGGTTTGACCCAACCGGTTGTTCCCGCCAACTAGCCTTGCGCCTATTCACTTCCTCGTCCAGTGAAGCCCGCTTCTGATACATCAGACCGGCGTATTGTTGCTGTCCTGCCAACGTGCTAGTGCTGGGGCTTGACCTACGAGGCTCCGCCAAACTTGGCCGCCGTGCCATCGGCGGATTCTCCGTAGGCTGAGCCTGTCCAACTGGGGTTTCTGTGTGCGCTTTGGGCATCTCCGCCAGGGGAGTGTTGAATGTCGACACGGAAGACAAAATTGGAGATGTCGGCGCAGTGGAGGGCTCGCTTCTCGTGTGGGAAGCAGTTTCCGTTGAGTCCTAGACGGAAAAGTCAACGTATAATTTCGAGTTGGATGCTTTGTCTGATCAGTTCTGGGAGAAAGGAAGGTGTGGCCGCCTCGGGAATACATACCCTTCTCATATCTTCTGGTGATTGGGCACCCTGCGGCCGGCTTGGGTGGTAGTAATACGGCGGTCCTCCACGAACCCAGACAGGAGGATGCTCGGGACGGTCACCTGGGTGTTCAACCATGACGTGAGGAGTTCACTTATTCGTATTAACGCGATCGAGAAGTGGAATTGACCATAAGTGGTTTATTTAATTGCAAGACATCACGTTCCAGCTCAAGCCAAGATATAGCAACCCCCGATTTACCTTCCAGACGGCTTAGACTTTCAACTTCAACCAGACATGCATGATAACCTACATCCATCCACACTGGGGGGGCGGCAAATACGTAAGGTGCATGGTCGGTGTGGCCAAAAATGCGGGGAAAGTTCCAGGCTCGAGGACACGGGGTATATACAGCATGGAAGTCTCCTTTTTTCCTCGAGCCAAGCGTAGCTGGACGTTCAAAGTACTCTGTTGTTGCCGAGATCAATTGGAAGCCACCTTTGCTTATCTACATACATGGGCCTCCAGGTCTAGACCAGCACAACTGCTGCATGCCGCGTGAGCACTTGATACTCAGTCCAGTAGATGTCCATCGAGACTGTGGTGTTTCGTAGAGTTGCAGGATATAAGACAAATGGTTAGTTGCCAGTGACATCATAGCTGAAGTTAATCGACCAGGTCAACATCAAGAAGGCAATGGATGATTGGGGGGGGGGTAAGTATCTTGACGAAAGTGTGTGCTTAGAAGTACAGTACTCTTTCGTCCTCGGCCTAGGGATGGCCCAAAGCGCCAAGTGTCGGGGTTTCGATGATATTCTGGTATTCTCCTTGGCTACACATAATAACTCACTGGCGTACATTGTAGAAGCGATTTACCTGGTCTACTCCGGGCAAAGGGTCGATAAAAGGGACTAACCGAGACAACCAGAAGAGAATATAGTCTTCAGTGGATAAATCCTCCTCGTGATACGGAAAAGACCAATTTCTCCAGTATATCCTACCTATCCTCAGTTCCGTGATCAAGAAGATTCTGCATTTGGGAGTTCGCTTTATCCTGTTTCAAATCATTATCAAGACGGGCTTTGGCCTCTTCTTAAGGATATACAATCTGGTAATATTTCGAGAGGCGATCGCTGATCAGAAAGGGGGTGTGGTGATGATAGTTGCTTTGAGGATTGTATTGTCATCTCCCCAGGGACAGTTCACAACATGGTAAAGTCGGCTTCGCACAATAGCACTGTGGCTTCCCATAGCACGAAAATGCGGATTGTTAGTACAACTCATAAAACTAAGGTAAAAATAATCTGTCTCGTACGATATGTTTCCAATTCTGTCTGCTTTTCATCATCGCTTCACAAGTCAGGGTCATCGGGCAAAGCTGCACAAGTGACATTCTCCGAAATCTCGTCACTGTAGTTCTGAAAGCGCTATAGATATCGGCTTGGACACAAAATGGAAGGATGGCGGTCTGCTCCAAATTCAATGATGACGCCGATATCCCAGATTCGCTAACGAAGATGGTACTTGGGGAGAGCTCCGGATGCCGTATTGTCGGCTTATTCAAGTGTTCTTCACCAGGCACAATGTGTCGTACCAGAGCGAAGAGATAATCTTCAAGAGTGCGAATCTAATCCTCCGGATTAACTCTCTTCTTGCTATAAAATTTTCTGTGAAGGGCTCCTCATGGACAACTTGATTCTCCGTACCTGCGAAGCCACCCAAGATCCCGAAGCCTAGCTGCATTGAGAACGTCGGCTGACAATTTCCCTGGATCACGCGGTCAGAGGGCATTAGCTCTGAATATGAAGGTGTCCTCGATTAATATCAAATGCACTTTGTCCAAGATATCACCAAAGAAGCTCCGCGGAGGGCCCTGTACAGGAACCACCCTCGTCTTAGTATCAACTGGTAAGGAGTCGGTATGATAAAGACTACCCCATTTGCAACGAGCTGAATGTTGAAGAGAATACTCTTTAATAGCAGCAATTCGTTCCGTTACTGACTTCCCATCCTCGACATCCATCGTGTACCAAGTCTTTTCCAGCTCCGTTCCAGCTCCTTTCTTCGGGCCTTCTACATAACAATACATTCGCTTCCCAGGGGTTTGATGGGAGGCATTATTCCAAGTCAAAACCCTTGGGGATTGGGGCCGCGTGCAGTGGCAAACGCTCAATGGTTGCTATCCCCTCTTGCTACTCCATATCCGTTGGAACTAATATGGATAGGGCAGACTGGCAATGTCATGCCAGCCGTTTCAGGAGGAGATCTCAAAAACGAGATCAGAGTCACCTTCCGCTATTTTCGTAAAACGTACAATGTGGTTTCTTAAGTTATCGACAAAGCGGGCAGTGATGTCCAAGAGGGCATAGATGTTAAAGAAATCGGACAAACGTTTGCTCTCTTTATACCTTGTGCCCCCTGCAGGCGAGGCCATTGCCGACAACTTGTAATAAAATAAGTAAGAGAAATAAGAGGATGTGATCTTCGCGAGTCGGGTCCAGAGGAGAACTCAAAGCCATCGTCGTGATGGATAATTGTAAAAGTCATGGCGCAAATACTGGATACCCAGGCCGTGAACGCTCCTCGCTTAGGATGGAGGAGTGGACAACGACCAGCGGAAGCAGATAGCCCAGGAGCAATAGACACCTAGAGCTAGAAGAGCGACAGAGCCTTGTAAAAGCCCAGATCCGGCCACGATCAAGTCTATACATAACCAGCCCCAGAGACTCGACTATGCGATATTATGGAGTTGTTCAGATAACTAGCTATACTGGATGTAGCATGTAGTGGAATTTTGACCTGGCGAGTAAGCTCAGGATCCATATTCAATACAGCTAACTGATCAAGCTTGAAATATGCACTTTGTGTTCTCAGTCTCAATCTCTTGTTGATTCCAACAGTGTATGTAACTATAAACTGATAGTGTTTTGCGCCTAGGATCCCTTTTGCTAGCAGATAGGGATGCCCTATTGATGAAAACAAAAGAGTAAAAGCGAAACTAAAAGCAGAAGAAGTGGAAGACAGGAGAGGATGTCTGGTGAGGGAAGAGAGGCTTTTCGGAGCTGGCCGTGCGCGGGTTGATTTTAAGTTAACTTAGTTAACCAATTCGTGAGTTAGCGTTGAGTGGGTGGGATTGGCGACCACCAGCGAGCGGGTCGAAGCTCAAAATTTATCATCGTCGTGGATCGCGGTCTTTCTCCCCCCTCACTTAACCACTCATCCTTGAGAACACGCCACAATGGATTCTGAACAGCCGCCTCATTCTGTCTTCGACACCATCCTGGTGCTGGATTTTGGTAGCCAGTAGTAAGTATCACTTAAATCTCCATTGGAAGAGATGTCGTGGTAACCTCCGGAGCCAGCTCGCATTTGATCATCCGAAGGTACTATTCCTTTGTCAATCCCCAGCCCATTCCCCCTGCGAACCGCAGCTGACTTGTTTAGACTGGTCAGCTCTGCTCCCGGCCCGCTCCTACACCTGATTTCCTAACTTTCCTTCCAGAGAGAGCTCAATGTCTACTCTGAGATGGTTCCTTGGTAAGTGCCGTTCCCCCCCGATACACAAAGTGCGGATCTAACGAAACATCCAGCACCCAAAGGCTAGCCGACCTCACCTGGAAGCCCAAGGGTGTTATTCTCTCCGGCGGTCCCTATTCGGTCTATGAACAAGATGCTCCGCACGTCGATCCCGGTCAGTTTATGTTTTGCGATCTAGAGAGTTTTCATTCTTCCGTAACATCACCTGCTGATTTCTTCCTTCCAGCCTTCTTGGACCTAGGTGTCCCCATTCTCGGTATTTGCTACGGCATACAGGAACTCGCATACCGCCTGGACAAAGCAAATGTGACCGCCGGAATTGCGAGAGAGTACGGCCATGCAGACCTCAGCGCGAAGCGGCTTGATGACCAGGGACACGTCGACCGCTTATTCTCCGGCATCAAAGATAACACAAAAGTGTGGATGAGTCATGGCGACAAGCTAGTAAAGCTCCCTGAGGGCTTCCATACCATCGCTACTACTGCAAACTCGGAGTATGCCGGTATTGCCCACGAGACCAAGCCCATCTACGGGATCCAGTTTCACCCAGAAGTCACTCACACTCCCGATGGCACTCACCTCCTCAAGAACTTTGCCGTGGATATCTGCGGTGCTGCACAGAATTGGACAATGGCCAAATTTGTCGACCAAGAAATCACCCGGATCCGCAAACTAGTCGGGGAAACCGACCACGTCCTCGGCGCCGTCAGCGGAGGTGTCGATTCGACAGTTGCCTCCAAGTTGATGAAAGAGGCCATCGGAGATCGTTTCCATGCCGTACTCGTGAACAACGGGTGTATGCGCCTGAACGAATGCGAGCAGGTTCATGAGACCTTGGGAAAGCATTTAGGTATCAACCTGACTGTAGTCGATGCTTCGAAACAGTTCCTGGATGCCCTCAAGGGGGTCACAGATCCAGAAAGGAAACGGAAGATCATTGGTGGAAAGTTTATCGATGTCTTTGAGGCAGAGGCCTTGAAGATTGAGGCCGGAGTCAAACATACTGGTGCAAAGGTCAAGTGGTTCCTTCAGGGGACCCTTTACCCAGGTGAGCCCGAGGATTGATCGGCCTATTCATTCTTTGCCTATCGGCTAATAAAGGGAAAGATGTCATTGAGTCTCTTTCTTTCAAGGGTCCTAGTGCAACAATCAAAACACACCATAACGTTGGAGGGCTGCCAAAGGTTTGTTGCAAGTTTTACGAAACATTTTGTTCCCCCGCTGATATTTGACCTCGTTCAGAGAATGCAAGAAGGTGCTGGTTTAAAACTCATTGAGCCCCTTCGAGAGCTTTTCAAAGATGAAGTGCGTCAGTTAGGAAGGGAGCTCGGTATCCATAACGATTTAGTGATGAGACATCGTAAGAAACCCCCGCCCGACAACGGTCCTTCAATCTACTAACATCATTCATTAATAGCGTTCCCGGGCCCTGGAATTGCAATTCGGTAAGTCAATGGTGCCTATATAGACTTTAACCACATGCAGGCCAGTATCTGACAACTTCCTTTTGCATAGTGTCTTGGGCGAAGTCACTCCTGAGCGCGTTGAGATCGCCAGGAGAGCTGATCACATTTTCATTTCCATGATCCGTGAGGCGGGTCTATATGATAAGATCGCTCAAGCGTACGCCGCTTTGGACCCAACCAAGGCTGTTGGTGTCATGGTATTTCTTCAGCTTCACCCGAATGTCCGAGAGTTCAGCAAACACTAATTTGTGAGCAGGGCGATAAACGAGTTCACGCCGAGATGATCGTTCTAAGAGCCGTTGAGACCTCAGACTGTAAGTACACTACCTCCCTCCATGCGCCATCACCGGCTCCGTGGGTTTCTTTACCCAGAGGGATGCTGACCAATTGCTCTAGTCATGACATGTACAGCATATCCATTCCCTCACGAATTCCTTTCTAGAGTGTCGACACGGATTATCAATGAAGTACATGGTGGTATGTTCTGGCCCTTCTCCTACCTTCTGATTCATTGCTTGCTCCTTTCTCCTCTATGAATATGTATTCTAATGATCGTGATGAGTAGTTTCCCGAGTGCTATACGACATTTCATCCAAGGTGAGTCCGATCTCTTCACGTTACCTCAAGTTCAGCGTGACTGACGATGTGCCAGCCTCCCGCAACCATCGAGATGGAATAGTTGAATCTAGGTATGAGATCAGTTGGATTAGTACTCAATGGCGATATGGCGCATTATATCAAGCAAAGATGCATAAAAGTATAAAAGCATAAAAGTGACAGTATCACTTCGTACATACATATAACTATACATTACATGTACCTATATACCTCCCTAGTAGTGTCTCGCTCCTGATTGCCTTCCTTTACTTTAAGAAATGGTTCGCTGACCGGATATCCGGAGGGTATGCCCATTTTTATTTTTATTTTTTCTGTCTAGCAGTTTTGGCGCAAAAGAGCGATGTTAGAACAGAACAGCCTTCCTCAGCCTATTCCGATTCAATAAATCGCCAGCATTCCGGCCTGCTGAACCTGGCACATCAGAAGGGGAAGAGGGAATAAAAAAGAAAAAAAGAGAAATTTCCTCGTCCCCGGGAAGGCTCGAACTTCCAACCTCCTGATTAACAGTCAGACGCGCTAGCCGATTGCGCCACGGAGACCACATAGAAATTCTACCCCAAAATTCCAAAAATCAGAAGGTGGTAATGAGCTGTGGTAAGAAGATAATTAAAAAAGACCAAAGCCGCATGCCTGTGCGCTTGCAAAGTTAAGGATTTCCTGGTCAACGTTGAGAGACACCCTGCCAAGCGTATGGGCTCGCCGCCTCGCCCATAGAAATAAGTCGTGCATCCTTGACAGCGAGATTATCAAATTGGCCACGGCGATGATGTCGCAGACGGCTTTGAAATCTAACAGCCATCAAGATGCTCTGGGTTCGCAGAGTTCAGATTCACATCTTAAGGCCAACAGCCTTCGCACGCATCTATACGGAGTACTGTGTACGACTCGGCTTTCACCAGTAGGCTTGTATGTATGAGTCCCCGTTGTCAGAGACTAACTAGGAAGAATTGATGGTTCCCCTACATGAGGCAAGAGGCAAGAGACTATTGTATTGCCTCGCTGATAAAAAGTGACAGTTTTGAATTGCTGGTTTGCTCCTCGGGTAGCATACATACATACGACAATGGCGTGGAGCTATTGTATTCAAAGGAAACGAGGACAAGGGACGCCCTTCGGCGCCAAGTATCTGGGTGCTAGCCAGAAGCCCCTTAAGGCTGAAAGGCTTCTTTTGATCGGCCAGTCGATCTCACACCACAACATCTGCGCGGAAGATCTGATAGATCTGTGTGCATATCCCTGACCGGGTGTGGGTGGAGAGACCGTTGAACCGAGAACTGCATCCGGTGGAAGCTATATATCTCCAGGTCAATGAGAACGTCCTAAGAACCTTGTGCTGACTTTTTGTGTCAGCATATGTGAACCGTCTTCCGTCCCCTCAGGATTCAACAATAGGACCCTGCCACGAACTGTCAGAGCTGCAGAACCGCGTTTCTTCTCAAGCACGGGGTATATAATATTCTGGGCGTGTTATCTCTTCTGCTGACTAGCGTTTATGGTACTTGTTCATGGCTAACAAGGAAAAAATTTGAGATAACGGTAAAAAAGAGAAAATAAATTTGGAGGGAGATCGAGAGAAAAAAAGGAGCAAAAAAGAAGCCAAATCATCGTCGTCCCCGGGAAGGCTCGAACTTCCAACCTCCTGATTAACAGTCAGACGCGCTAGCCGATTGCGCCACGGAGACTCACTAATCCCAAAGCGGAAATAGGCGAAAATCTCTAGATGAAGAGGAAATCAAGGAATGACGGGTTGTTACTATCACTTGTCAAAGATTTCCTTCGTCTCTTTTTCTTTTTTTTTCTTTTTGGATATTGAGCGGTGTCAGACAAATGCAAACGGAAGCTGCCTCGTTTGCCAGCTTCGCGTCCTCCGTGCGAGATGCCGCCAAACTGGCGCGTGGTGTCAGATATTACGCTCATCATTGTGATTTGATATGAAGAATCCCCATGCAACGAGCTCCAGCAGCAAGCAAGAGCCACAAAGATCCCGAGCTCTCAAATTTGCAATAAAAATTAATTACAGAATTCAGATTTATCCCTTCAGTAGGCCTTCCAGGTTGTGCCCTTGTAAGTCCGCTCCTTTGTTGTACGCCATGTTGTATGTATTCTGTATGAATTCTCGCCATTGAGGCGTGATGTTCTCCTTGAGAATGTCATGTAGGGCATGGTCGTGGTATTTGAGCCCCATTCGCTCGAGTTCCATGCGGATTGCGAGGAATCTCTCTATACAGTTCCTCTCTCCGCCAGCAGACTGTCGTGTCATATTCTGTATTTCCTTTGCTAGGCGTCCTTGGTGGATCTGAGGTTTCTCTAGGAGAGCTATCTCCACAGACTTCCAGAGCTTGTAGGCCACCCGGCTGTTTGAAGTAGACTCTAGCTTGCGTAGTTATTGTACTGTCAATTAAGTCATATAGCCAATTATTCTTGGCTCTCCAGAACCTCGTAATGTCAGGATTATCTGGTCGTGGCGAATCCTCCTGCTCCTCTAGGATAATATCTTCAGCATCCGCCAATTCAGCTACCTTTAGAACAGCTTCCATGTGGCATAGTTGCTGGTCCCAAACAGCCTGACAATAGGCTTCCTGACAGTCTTTGCAATGCGTAGGAATTGTGCGATGAATTCGCCAGCCTCCGTGCTTGGATCCGTGATTGTCTTCGCGTATGCCTAAAATCTTCTCTAGCCTGTTAGAGGAGCTCATTTGACTCTTGAATCTGTACTCAAATAGTTGCCTCATCTCCAGCTATGCTCTCCGCATCTTCTGGATCTCTATGAGTATCAGTTGAAATGCATCTCCACCTACCCCAGGTTCTCGAGGCTCGCTCTCCGTTGGTTGGTTTGTATGCCTAGCGGATCGTCACAGGTCTGTTTGGGGTGTAGCAAGGTCTTCTGGAGCTACCGGGTCAGGAGTTCGGTGCTTCATTTTGTTGTCTTGAAACTTGCCATGGCTTTGGTGCTGACAGGCGTTCGTTCGGCTCGCTAGCTAGCTGCTTGCTAGAAAGCTACAAACTAACTCGCCAGCTACGCGGTGTAAGAGGCTACAAAACTCACTATCCACAAGGGATAGCTACCAAACGCGTTGGTTGCAAGCTTAATTAACCAATTAAGCTCCGTAAACCGAGTCACTCTCGACTAGTGTGGAAGCAGCCGCCACCTCCACACATGTCAAGTCTCCGTGGCGCAATCGGCTAGCGCGTCTGACTGTTAATCAGGAGGTTGGAAGTTCGAGCCTTCCCGGGGACGACGAGAAAACTTTTTTTATTAAAAATATTACGAAATTTTTTAATGTTTGATGAACTTGGCGAGTGTCTTATTTGTTTCAACAGCCCCCCAATAGCATCGGTCAATAATAGCATCATCCTAATTGACCCTGATCGCAAGCCGTGAGGACGGCAAGCGCCATATGTCTCGACAATAGGTCGGTCTGGCGAGAGACACCACATTTTATCAACTGTTGAGTTAACGGCTGGATTCCTAACGGCCCACAGATCTGTCACAGCGGTCAGCTGTCCTCAACGCTTAATGTATGCCAGCGTGCAGGTAGTCAGGACTCAGTCGCGCAGACGCCAGATAGAGAGAGTCAAGTAAATAGAAAGAAGATACAGAAAAGACTTCGACACATCAAATAGTTATCAACTTGGGGGGTTGTCCCCAAATCATTTATAACGCCACCCCATACTTATTAGTGTGAGACACCGTTTGGGGCTGAAAGTCAATGTGTCGAGACACTAGTCTCTATGTAGTTAGTCTCCAGCTTAGCGGCTCGGATCTTCTTTGATCTGATGCAGAGTTTTCGTCTCGCTTCTCATCCCACAATCCTTTGGAGGGGAAGAGGGAGAGCACGCACATCTATTGAGTTCACATTCTGTGGTTCCTATAGCTTCCGCATATGGTTAGTAGCCTTGTAGGTCCTTCTGAGAGGTTCTGAGCCCTTCTTTAGAAATCTTTGAAGCCTTTGGAGTTGCCAAAAAAGGAAAAACTCTTGATGGAATGATGAACATTGACCTGAAGAGCTCTTCAGCTTCAACACCCAATCCAACCTCCAGAAATATGAGTCCAGCAGAATATATGGAGGATGCTAGCACCAATGTGGGTGCACATTCACAGTCAGCAGGCATCACACAGCAAGTTAGCTTTCTATGGGGTGGCATTGCAGGTCACCAGTTCAGAGAAACAACTCCCCAAATCAAAAGGAATTTCAATATAGCAGACAAAATGGTTACAGACATCACTGGAACAACAATTTGGTCAATCCCCATGCTACAAGGCAAGAAAAATGTGAATACTTGGTTAAACATTGTCAGGTTGCAGCTAAACCACTATGGCTGGGGGATTCTATACAATACAGTGGTGCCAGAGCCTACAGAGGCTTCTAAAGATATACAAATCAAATGGCAAAGTGCCATGATATTCTTTGCTACATGGCTCAGCTTAAGCATAGAAGATGATGCTTGAGATCAGATCAGCAAGCACTATAGAAACAACATTGATGATCCTGCCCTCATGATATTCTACACAAAGCAGCTCTGCCTAAAGCCTGATAAAAATACATGCATTCATGCAGCAGAGAATTATTTCTACACATATCAACACAACTATGGATCAGTTACACAATATCTTGATGTACTGCTTGAATAATACCAGAGAGCATTGCAAGCTCCTCATCCATTACATTCTTCCCTAGTGATTAACAAGATAATTGAGAGTGTACAAGCAATTAACAAGAACTATGCAGATAGTGTACTATCAATAGTTCAAAATACAAACCCAAGTGACATAACATATGAGGATATGAGAAATCTTGTGCAGGAGGCAAAGAAATATGTGGAAGCTTCAAGCAGAATATATATGATCAGATAAACCAAATTTAAAGAGACTGCCTCCAACAAGCAAATCATACAGAAATATGCTCCACAGAAGAGAATCTTGTGGGATGACCATGTCAAATTCTTATACAAAAAAATGCCTAGCAAAATAGGTAACAACTGCAGATATTGTGAGACTCCAGGTCATGCCATACAACAATGCCCTCACCTTTTTACTGACAAGAGATATCAAGGATGGAAGCCAAAGCCACATTTATAGATGAGATCAAGGCCCAAAGAAAGATGACACATGAATTCTGAACAGAAAAACCAGAGCTAATCCAAATCTCAGCAATCAAATTCCAGTGAAGATGCTAAGGATAATACAGGAGAAAATCATCTCATAATGGGATTTGAAAATAGCTTCACCAGCATGGCATTCAGACCTGGCTTAGTGGCATCTGTATTCAAGAGAGCTGTTGGTTTAGAAACCTGGCTTGTTGACACATGCTGCAGCCACTTGATTTGTTGCAATAAAGTCTACTTTACTAGCTTTGATTCTACTACAGAACATTGGTACAGGGCTTCAAATGGAGAAATCATTTCCATAAAGAGTAGTGGCATAGTACATGTTAGATGCATCATCCAGGATAGCATTGTCAATGAGATCTATATACATGCATGGTATAACCTAAAGTTAGGCATGAATTTGCTTTCCACAAACCAATTGACTAAAAAGTTGAATCTCTACTTTATGGAAGTAGACCACACACTGCAAACACAAAGAGACCACAAACTAGTGGGATATGCTAAGAAAAGTGATGGTGTTACAATTCTTGAGACAGAGCCACTTCATCAGCAAGAGAAAGCCATTCAACAGACATACACTACTATGAAGCTCATGCTGCAGCTTCTCCATAGATGACTGGGACACTGCACATTCTCTACCACACAAAAAGCAGCAAAAGACCAGGAAATCAAAATAAAAGGCCAAGATACTTTCCATTGCAAAGCATGTGCACTAGGAAGGTCAAAATGGCAGATATTCTGAACACCACAGATCCAGTCTACAATTTCTGGGTGGAAGATCCACATTGATCTTCAAACCATAAAGCCAATGAGTTTTCAAGCCTTCAAATACACTCTAATAATTGTGGATGACTGCATGTGTTTTAAATAGGTTATACTACTCAAGAATAAAGCTGAAGCTTCACATAGCCTCCAGAAGCATGTCAAGAGGCTCAGGAATTTACTAGACTTCTACATGGATACTGTACAAATGGATGAAGGCACCAAATTTTCACTATTTAGGAAGAAATTTGCCCCAGCCCATGGAATTGAATGCAAAGTGACTGCTCCATACACATCTGAGCAAAATGGTGTAGCAGAACAAATCAGCAGCTATTTAGTAGAAATAAGTTGTGTCATGATTTTAGAAGCAAAGCTTCCACAAGAAGTCTGGGATCTGGCCTTGCAAACTGCTTGCTACATTACAAATAGGATTCCTCTAGCTAGAGGTGGAGAATTGCCATACAAGCTCTTTTGGAAAAAGAAGCCAAATCTACAGCATCTATAAGCTTATAGATGTATAGCCTACACACATATTTCACCAGAGGATAGAGCAAACTACAATAAGGCATATAAAATGAAATCCAGGGCTCAACTCAGTCACCTAGTCAGATATGAAGGTGAGAATGGACATATTTATAAGATCTGGATTCTGGAGACTGGCAAAATTATATGTACACACAATGCCAAGTTCAATGAGGATGTCAATGCTATTCCAGATCTCCCAAAAAAGAAAGATCCTAAGCCAAAGGATAGATTTACAGAACCCTTTATGATTCTGAGCTTCCCAAAGCAGGAAGCTATGGGAGTGGCAAAGCAAGCTGCTACTAGACTTCTTCCAGCTTCAACACAAGAGTCTACAGAGGCACATGCTCAAGAAGCTAACCTGATTGAGAATTCTGAGATTCCAATACTTTTCTAAATGCAAAAGCAAATGCACAGCCCACAGCTTCAAATAATAACACCATCATCTCAGAAGACTCCTTCAGCACCTGAATGCATGGTGAGATTTCAAGAACCTGTCCATGAGACTATTGAAGAAACGCCAGAGCTTCCATATAATGGAGATAGCAACAACAACTCAATCAAGGGCCAAATCCATAATGAGATGTTCAGAGATGCATTGGAAGAACTGGGACAGAGCACTAAATCCATGCCTACACACAAACTCAAACCTACAGCTTCAATGGAGCTGAACCCTCAGCCCACAAGATGTGTATTGAGCTGTACAACTAAAGGCAAATCATTAAGACTATATGGAGATTATGCTTCCTATCTTACAGCTGACCTGCTAGCTTACAAAGTTAAGGTTCTATGCAACTACAAAGAAGCTATAACTAGTGGATACACCAGCAAATGGAAGAGTGCTATGGAAAAACAAATTGAGAAGCTAGAAGCTGCCAATACTTAAGAGCTAGTTGAGATGGATTCAATGATTCTACAGCTAAGATCCTACCTGGCAAATGGGTTTTTGACTTGAAAGTGAATGCTGACAGCTACATTATCTTCTTCTGTGCTAGATGAGTCATATGTGGTAATTTCCAATGCCCTGGCCTCAATTTTGACAAGACTGCTGCATCTGTAGTTACTGAATCAGCTATCAAGCTTGTGCTTATAAAAATAGCAGTTGAAGATATGCACTGCAAACAAGTTGATATAGTTACAGCCTACTTGCATGCCATACTTAAGCACCATAAGATCTACATGAGCCTTCCAACTGGAACAGAAAGAAAAGGCTTTGTCTGCAGGCTTCAGCAAGCTCTGTACAGACTGAAGCAAGCAGGACATCTTTAGCAGGAGATCTTTACAAAAGCTCTCATGAAGATTAGTTTAAAGCTACTAAAGAATACAGATTCATGTGTATTCATAGACAAAGAGTCTGGCCTGCTACTAATAATCTACATTGACAACACCCTTATTGCTGCTCCTACAAAAGAAACTGTTACTGATTTCAAAAACAAGCTGTCCAATCATTTCCCTATAAAATCTCTAGGTGAACTATCAAGATTTCTAGATTGCAAAATTGAACAAGATCATACAAAGTGAATAATCTATCTCTCTCAAGAATCATATGTTCAAAAGGTTCTTGCCAAATTCTACATGAGTGGCTCAACAATCCAGACCACCCCTATGGCAGAAGAAGTACAGCTTATACAGGAGCCTGAGCCTAGTTCAGTAGTTGCTGAAAGCATTGTGAACTGGCTGCAACAGCTTCTTGGAGCTCTCAATTGGCTCTTAATAAAGAGCTGCTCTGATATTACATTGGCCATCAACAAACTCCAATAATTCACTACAAAGCCAACACTAGAGCACCTAGGATATAGCAAATGAATACTGTGTTATTTGAAAGGATCTCCCATGCTAGGCCTAACCCTCAGAGGCACCCCAAAGTCTGAAATCCCAGAATTACAAGTCTACATGGATGCTAGTCACCAAGACTGCAAGGAAGGATGCTCAACAGAAGCATATATATTATTTTATATGGGAACTCCCATTGCATGGAGCTCAAAATGCCAAAAGATCATCACACCATCAAGTACAGTAGCAGAATTTTGTGCTCTTGATTCTGCCATGAAGGAAGCACTTTGGATTCAGAAGCTCTTACAAGATCTCAATCTTCCAGCAAAAGCTCTGATTCCTATATATACAGATAGTGCAAACACTATAGCACTAGCTCACAAGCTAACATACACACCAGCCACCAGGTGGATGGATATGCATTGGTTCTTCATGAAGGAGCTTCTCAAAGAGGAAAGGGTAAAGCTCTACCATATACCAGGAATAGAGAATCCAGCAGACAGCTTGACAAAGCCACTTGGAAAACAAAAATTTAAAGAATTCTTACAGATGTTGAATCTCAACAACATGAATTCTACATTCACACTTGCTTGATTAGGATGACACAAACACTGGTGGAAGTGGCATAACCCACAACAACATTACACCAGCAACAGATTTGGAGCTCAACCTCTAATTTGGACTTCCGCTTACTATTTACTAAGAAATATTCCACTTATTTGGTTATTGAATCAGCTTGGATCCTGGATTTGTTGGATTTATGTATTTAGAAATTTGTCTTCTCCCAGTACTCACTGGAGCCTAGGGGGTGGTGTTGAGACACTAGTCTCTATGTAGTTAGTCTCCAGCTTAGCGGCTTGGATCTTCTTTGATCTGATGCAGAGTTTTTGTCTTGCTTCTCATCCCACAATCCTTTGGAGGGGAAGAGGGAGAGCACGCACATCTATCAAGTTCATGTTCTGTGGTTCCTATAGCTTCTGCATATGGTTAGTAGCCTCGTAGGTCCTTCCGAGACAATGTCTGATGAGTATGATACCTATTTTTGGGTTAGAAAGTTGGGGAAGCCTGTCTTCATCAGAAAAGAGTTTGCGTCAAGTCTTCCCAAAGATCCAGTACATGATGTCCAACTCGTGGAATCCTCGTAGAATTCAATCAGACCTTTACAGAGTTGGTTTGAGCTCTAATATTTAACTAGTAGAAAATTGATTCGTACTTCGCGGATCAGCGTGACTCTCAACATCTTGCAGGCAATCTCCTTACCTGAACATTGTTCTTCAGTGTAAGGGGTTCGCGGGCAAATCCTTGCAGACTCCCCGCCTCTTCTAAGCCTTGGTCCCTCAAGGTGGCTGTATCATCAAAAACCTTTTATGAGTAGAAAACAAAAAGAACCCTTCGGAAAATAAAAAGTTCCTCTTAAGGAAAAGAGGACAGCCTCAATAAGAGATAACACAACTCTAGCCTGAATAACACAACAATATGTACTCTGTACAGATCCCCTATTATTCTACTAGCTCCGCGTCAACATTAAGTAACGAGGACTAGCTTAAGAGAAAGGTTTCTCTCACTTTCACTTTCACTTTCACTTGCTGCTCTTCCTTCTCTAGCCTTCATTAAAATCACCAAGATAAGTGAACGCTCCAAGCAGTGCTTCATGTGGGAGGCAGGCTTGCGGTGAGATCTCCTCTTGCTTGGCTGCAAGGCCACAAGCTGCGTAAGTCTTCTACCTGCGTGGATTCTTTTGCCTCCGCGTGGTTGGATAAGGCTAACGCATGCTAGGGGCTCGCGGTCTCCTCCTCCCCCCCTTTGTGGAGGAATTGTTTGGGCCTTCGGTGAGTGGTCTTTTGAGAGGCTGGGATGTAGTCGCGACTGACAGTTCTAGGGAATTGCTCCTCCCCCTCTTCCTCCACCAGCCTCCGCCCCTTCTCCGCCAGCTCTAGCTGTAGGTGCTCTTCCGCGAGCTGGCATTGGTTCGCGTGCTGACAGAATTAGGGTTCCTTCATCCCCTCCCGGCAGTTGTGGTCCCGCAGGCTTCGGCTAGCAACGTGAGTATCCACTATCACACTCTCTGCTCGCAGCTAACCTTCTCTAGGTTGTGGTTATGGTGCCTCCCGCTCGGGCAGGTTGGCGGGGTGTCGTGGTCTTGCAGGGTGCCTGGGACCACCCAGCAACCCCTCCCCACCGGGGAGATCGACAATGGTGGTCCCAGGCCACCTTCACCCCTCTTCCCCCGGCCGCCTTCTTTGCTGGGGCTTCGCGGGCCAAGCTGGTGGTCCTCCCAGGTCTTCCCCCCTTTGTCCACCTGTGAAAGGGCGTGGTGTCGCAAGCCTATCCAAAGGTCTGGGTTAATATCTGGTTTGGATAATCCAAATCAGCTGGCTCTTCGCCCCCAGCTCCGCAAGGAAATCCTTGTGACTTGTGACTTGGGCTGGGATGCAGCCTCCACCAGGACAGGAGTACTCCGCCTGCAAGAGAGCTCAGCAAGGCTATGGCAACATAGTCTTTGCAGAGTGCATCTCCGCAGGCCGGGGTCAAAAATGTAACAATTGCCTATACCGTGGACACCTTACTTGCTCTCTCCTGCAGTAGGATTATAGGTAGTTATTCAATATCTTTTTGAGAGGGGCTGGTGGCTCTTTACATAGTCAGCCGCGGATTGTACTTGCGGGTCAATGTGGCAACGGGACTCTCCTTAGGGAGAGGATTAGGAAGAAATGCGCGAAGATAAGATCTCTATATTCTTCTAGCAACGGTATGACTCTGTGCCAGATTGCTACTGGCTTTCATAAGAGGTTCATGCAGTGGCTACCTTTTATGTTTTTTCTCAAGCACATGATTTAGCATCTCAGGAACACATACATCAGCTCCCAACATCTTGCAGGCAAGGTCCTTGCCTCGCGAGCGTCGTTCTTGATTGTAAGGGGTTCGCGGGCGAATCCTTACATCTGGTCTTCCAGGTCAAGGTTTGGCGATACAGTTGACTCGAGAAGAAGCTTGTTGGCTTGTGGAATAGATTGTTGAAGGTGGAATTTTGAGCTTGACATCAATTGAATGCACGTTTTCTTCTCCATGGCAAATTTCCCAAGAATGTAAAGTCTTGTAACTGGAGTCAACTTCTTATTTGAATATTTAAGCTTAAGCTCTTCATTCCATAGTTTTGTGGATGGTTTTGTGGGAAGGGTTAGGTTTGAAACACCGCAAATGTGTGATTGAAGCGTGCGGGAGCACCAATTAACGCAACCTTTTACAAGGCACTATATTCCATGCCATGTACAGAGGGAATAACTGCAGAGTGCTCTGTCAACTGCCACTGTGCTCCAGAGTGCAGACTAATCTGATATCATCCTAGATGGGACATCCATAGGTAGACCTCTTGGCAACGTTTACAATTGAAATCAGTGGAATGCAGAGATCATAGAAAGTATTTTGTTACCCCAAAAAGTATTAAAATCAAATGTTCCACCGAGAAAAATACTAGTAGTTTCTATAAATACAAGGTAAACCTCCTCACACTGTTAGAACTACCAGGGAGGATCAGCTCTGGTAGCCATACGGTGGGTGTTGCCATGTTCCTTGACCCACGTCAGAATATCTAATGCGGCTCTCCAGGTGAGAACGTCGTCATAGTAGTAAGTCATTTCAAAGCCATAGATGATGCCGTCAACACCGGCGGTGCCCAGCAACTGGTTGACGAGGTCGACCTGCCCGCTTGAGCTCGTCCATCCATACACTTTCCCAAGTTTCCCTTCATCCCGCAGTTGGGCACCTTGACGCAATTCGGTACAGGTGTAATAGCCTCCCTCATGGCAGCCTCCAAACTCAAAGCGGAGATTGTAATAGCCGTAGTCCATCACTCTTTGCGCCACTGGGATCCCTGATGCCACTTTGCCCTCATACTCCTTCAAAACAGCGCTAGCTTTGCCGCTCAAGCTTACCGCTTCGTAAGGATTCAACTTCTCGCGGATCACTTTTAACGCGCGGCTCTTTTCAGCTTTGTAGAATCCGAATAGGACGCGTATACCTTCTGGTTCCAGTGTTTTTCGCGCTAGGTTTCTAAGGGCCTCGATCGAGCAATTCAAGCGAGGTTCACAGTAATCCGGGTTCTTCATGTCTAACCAGACAAAAGTGACGTCCTTCCCCTTCTTATGCTCTTCGACAATGGTCTCAAACATCGTAACCGCGGAATCGCCAGCACTGGACCCTGTTGCACAGTCGTGGTCTGCCAGCCACGTATTCCACTTGCGCCAGGCACACAAGTCGATTTCTATAGCGTTCGCGCCGTGTTTGAGGGCATCTCTCACTCCCTGGGCGGTCAGGACTCGATGGGCAATGGCGTAAATTGGTCGCTGGTTGGCGGCTTGTCGAGGTTCAATGGCGTCTATGCCGACCCCGGACTCCCCAGGCGTGACTGGCTCGGCGACGGTAGGGGGTTCTAGGGCGTATGAGTCGACCTCAACCTCATCAGGCGTGACGGGTACAGCGACAGCCAGGTGACTGCTGAATAGCGCGGCCGAACATAATAAAAGGCGGACAAGAGTTGAAACCAACATGGTTGGTTACGGGATTCCTCTGCTAGATGGAAGTTCTTTGGGTCACGAATGCTTTTTGCCGTGGGATATCTAGGATGAAAAGCAAGGCTCTTGGAGGCCTACGTCCGGGAGCAAAGGCTCGTTTATATAAACCCGAGCCCAGGGAGGATGATGCACGTTCTTCAACTACCCGATAACCGGGCTCGCGGTCCGCCAGGCACGATTGCGATCACGAGGAAAAGCCACCAACTTGTGGACCATGACTAGACAGCTGCCTCCACCGCCGAGCCGGGGGGAGGAATTCTCGAAGATCAGGAGATGCAACAGGTGGCAAGTAGTGTGGCTGGTTAACGGGCGCCCGTTGACATAACCGGTGACAGGTATTTCTCCCCGCATGAGACATGTTCCAGCCAGCTCGTTCCTGGGGGAAATGTCTCCCCGCGCCCATCGAATGACTGCTGATGCTCACACGAGGGGCAAAGGGTCTCTGGCCCTGGCCACAGATTTGGCCTCCATCCTCCGTGCGGAAGAGGGGCCTGGGTGTGTCAAAGTTTGGACCAATGAAGCCAGCTAATTCAGTGAAAGGGACGGTGCATTTTTGGAGGATCCAGTGGCATGGGAAGCAAGAGCCAAGAAGCTAGTTGACCCGATCCAGAGAGTTCTGACCTTTAGCCTCTTCAAGCTAAGTGCCGATGAAAAAAATATTCATCAAGCAATTTGACAGCGTTCAGCCCCTTGCTTGACCTGTGAACAAAGCTTTGTTTGTTGGGCAGCTGGGTCAACGGCTGGTGATTCCAGAGTACCGAGCACGGAGTAACAGAAAACGCCACACATGGACGTTTATGGACGAACTTCGTATGTATAACAATGTGTGTACAGAGTAGTGCTGACGGATGCGTTGCTGAGCCTCCCGAGAACGGAGGGGTAGGCGGACTCGTCATGATCCTGGTTTATGGGCCACAGAAGGTTTACAGTTTTGAGTTTGTCAGGATCCTCCGTACGGGCGTGCCTGGGGCTTTGATCCTTGGTTGGTGAAACTAGTCCCGGCACGGTAAGGTCCAAAGGTTGAGACCTTACTCCGTACTCCGTATATTGTGGCAACATTGTACATACTAGTGCGGAGTACGGAGTACTCCGTACGGAGTAAATCATAAACAATTGCCAGGGGGTTGTTAGCCGCGGAGTAGGGAGAAGTTCGACTCTTTGGACTCTGACTGCACTTGGATGGACATATGTCAATGTGGCGAAGCATCGCAATGAAGGCTCTCCCGTAAGGTACGGAGTATATCCAATCCAAATCCACGCGGATTCCCATCACATGCCAATCAGGTGGTGGAGATGCCTTTCATTGATGCTCCCTGCCGAGCAGCGCCATCAGTAAGTGGCCAACGAGTTCCGACACTGTCACCTTTCCCTCTCTTGGCTACTATGTATAGTAGCTCACAAGCACCGTGGGACTTGAGAGAATTCAACCATGTTTACTTCTCGTATCGTGCCATAGCACAACACCAGGTGCCCTAGAGTATTCGTTGACCGGCCGTCAATGCGATGGCCAACGCGCATCACTGTCTTTGATATCGTCTCATGGGCCCGGGGGCTATCGCGATGAGCCGGATACCTTCCGTTTACTATCACCAGAGCACCCATGGTACCAGGCTCATGAATGAGCTAGCAGTGTTTCCATCGACTTTATCCCGCTCCCTTTCCGCTTCGATCCTAAGTTGTTCAGCTCCCACGGGATCTCCACTTCTCTCCTTTACATGGTCAGAAACCACAGCGACCGTGCGAGGTGGCCCTGCATGTTAGATATCCCTCGGCTCATCTCGGAAACCGCGTACAAGAGACTTGCTACCAGGGCATCCTCACCGTCAGCTTCTGCCATTCGGGTTGCTAAGAACATTGAGACACCTCGAGGCCCTTTGTCTTCAAAAGAAGTTGTGACGCATGGCAACCGCTTCGGATGCAAGCAAGCTGCCGGGCCTCTTCTCTCAGACCTTACCCGTACCTGATCCTGCACAGAATGATGATGTCTCCACTCTGTCCCAGTGATTGGAACTGGACGAATTGTTTTTCAATCAAATTTTGCAGCTTACAACAGTACTCCAATGCGCCTAGTGCTCTTTCCGGTTGCCCCGTGGTGTATCATGGCGTATATCGATTGCGTTTCGGTCATCAGGAGTGAATCATTTAACATCATGAGTTTCTGAAAACGTGGATATATTTCAAAGCGTCAGCAACGTTTCCTTGCTCGGTATAGCTGCAGGCAATATCGCCATATATATCCGCCACCGAGGGTGAATGCGGCCCTTCAAGTGCTTCTCTCACTCTGAATGCCTGTCGATACACAGATCGTGCAGCGCTTGGTTGCGCCAGATCCAGTGCGATGTGGCCTAGCAGGTGATATGCCTGTGCATAGTTCGCAGTTGCACGCGCTAATCTTAAGCTGGAGACCGAATTCAAAGAATGATCAGGCGGTCATGAGCTGCTCATTCTCCCAGAGCTCTCTTATTCGGGCGTGTCAGGGTACATGCTCCGTACTTGATACTGCCGTTAACTTCAGGGTTTCGTACTCACCTTCCGGCACGGAAGACTAATTCCGCAAGAAGCTCCGGACTGGTAACGATAAGCAAATTCGCTCGAGTTAATGCCATGAGCCAGCCGACATGGGAGAGAATCTTGCTATATTTGTCGCATGAAGCCCGGCCATGACCTAGTTTACGAACCCTCTCATTCCAGGTGTTAGGAAAGCTAGAAGATAGCATCCTGATCGCATAGTTGAGGAAGGTAGACGTCTTGTCCGTGGTCAACCGCGAAAACACTATAAATAGGACGAGGCGATGGATCGAAATAGCTCTATGTGTTGATAGCCGACTGACCAGAGATGCTGCTCTCGTAAGATCGATCACACCAACCCCGAAACTGTTGGTGGTAAGCCTATATTTGTCGCACAGAGAAGCAGAGCTTACTCAAAATCATCAAACAGAATCTCCATGGCAGTGTCTGCAATTCCAAGTCTTCTGTTTAATATTGACTCCGAGATAAGATCCAGGTCAAAAGTAAGAATCTTCAGCAATGTCTTTGACTCAGCAGAGAGTTTTCCAAATGAACACTCCCACGCTGTATCTAATGTACGTCCATATTGTACCGGTGCTCCAGTTCCCGTGAACGCCTTTGTGGCTGAGCGTTGGTGTACCTGCAGGATCTCCTCATAGGAATAACCTCGGTCGTTCATAACTTCGCTTATCTGGACCGTAGCTAGGGATAGGCCACCGAGAAACCGGAGCAACCCCTTTGCCGCCGCTGCGTCAGTTTCATTCGACGGTCGTGAGCTAGGCAAATTGTACAACACATCTATACCTATTTTCCCGCATAAAGGATTGGAGATGCAACAATTCTATTGCACGTTTAGACGCAAACGAATGCGATCGACAATTTATAATGATAGACCCTTTCATGCTGGCTGGTCAAAATATCAGGAGAAAAGATTTCCCCGCCGTGTTCAGCCAATCTTTCATATTTCGTATGGACTGATAGTTATCGTTGCGGCCTTCAGCTTGTAGCAAGCCAAGCTTCACCGCAAATTTTGAGAGTGCCTGCGCCATTGTAGCTTGAGTCTCAGACGGTATCCATATCACACCATGGTATAGCTTCATGGAAGGATTGGCGTAGTGTAGGGTAAGCTGCGTCTTTCCAACCCCACCAATTCCATAGAACACCATGACTTCGAGGTGTTCACCATCATCTTGAGGATGGAGGGCTCCCTGTAGAGCATCCGTCTCATCGCTTCTACCGAGAAATCTCACATTCAGGCCAAATGGTATCACGTAGCATGGAAGACTCTTCGCAATCGGCTGAGAGATATGTTGATTCCTAGTGGGCTCGGCCTTATCCACTTTTTTGGTCTCTCCAGAGCGACGAACCACACTGGCCTCTTCGTCGAGTAGCCTTGAAAATGTCGAATTTTCGCTATGTCCGCTGGAACCTCGTTTTTGAAACTTATTCCACGCCCGGCAAGTCTCGTTTATAATTGGATTGTTTCGAAAGAACGCAAACAAATGCGCGCAGAAGATTATGATCGCCGTATAACCATTAAGGAGAGCATCCTGCAGAGCGGACGTCACGGAAAGTCCTCGCTGATATCGACCGAATCTGAGTAGAGCCTGGTCTAGCTCTTCAAACATGTCTGGGAGCTCAGGGAGCATAGGTTGAGCAAAGTAACCGACGTGATCAGCGACACTGCGCGAGATTATATGGAGCGACACGTAGTTTCAGATCCAATCTCCCTTCAACATAAGCAGAGTAGAGCCCCATATCACGTCCGCAGCCTGACGATCCATCCATAAGGCCAGGGTGGTTGTAGTAGCAAACTCGTTGAGACCGAGAAGTACCGGCTGAAAGTTCTTGCAACAATATCCTCCAGCTCTCAGAAAATGCAGCAGGGTCAGCAAACGCAGGTGCCCTTGATCTTCTCGAGCAACTCTTCGGGGCCATGAAGACTGCAAAGGTCTTTCGTCAACTGCCCGGACTTTCACGCCCCATTTCCTGAGCTCCCCACGTAGTACTTGTCAATGGTTGCTCGTCGCATCGGACTGCCATGGCGCACATTGCGGAAATTGCTTTGGGAAATTCGAGAGAGCATGTCTTATCCAAGACCCAATAGGCGACACACAACTTGGTCCATGGCACCGGTTTTCCATCAAGATCTTCGGAGAAGTTAACTCATTATCCACTCCTTGAAGACCCTGTCGGAGAGCGGCTCGAAGACGACCTACTAGGATGACAACATGGAGTCACTATGGAACAGGGTCGCTGTCAGCCTGCGGGGCATGTGGGACGAGCTAACCCGCGAGTTAGTTAACCACGGAGCAGTCAAACACATCGGGAGCTAGTTAGCCGGTCAACCTTCTTTCATCGCCACCGGGAAAGTCAATCGCTGACCCGGTGGTTTGATCCAGCCCACGACAGACAGTAATTCGGAAACGCCCAGGACCACGTTTAAGGTGCAATGTCTTAAATGGCAGAACTACATATTGTAAGAACAACCTTATCCTGACTGGACGCATTTCCGACATTTTTTCGTGTACCATACCTACACACGCGCCCCAGAGCAAATCGCGTGATATGCCAATCCCCCCACATCGTTCTCTTCCAATTCAAGACCGGAGTCAGCACTGATGTTGTGAAGGGCGTAAGTTGAAGCTCAAGTGTCTCACTCTCACACACACACACACACACACACACACGCAAAGAACCCTGCGGCATGACCAACGCATAAATACCTGCGGGACGAGTTTAGCAGACGCACATGGCTAATCATTCCCCCTATCAGACCTGTATCCGTATGCGGGCTCTCAAAGACAACTGTCTCCACCTCTTTAGGTAGCTTAGTACTCCGTAGATGACAAGCAGAGTCCTAAACGCCGCATCGGATCAAGAAAATCCGAGCCGAGAAGCTGGAGACTAACTAGTTACATAGAGACTAGTGTCTCGAAAACAATTCCATGTAACATTTGCTTCCATTCCCAGCCAATTACACGCCGCTACAAGAGGTCTGTTGAGACAGGAAACAAAGCAAGGCATTGGGTTGAACTATATCTCCACCCACGGATCCCCCCTGACAAGCCTCCACTCCTATGTACATACAGATTATGTTCCTGGTCACCATGGTTGAACGCAGACAAGTAATTTCGAATAGTTAGAACAGCTGCTGGAGGATATTGAGCCGGGAAAGGACAGCACGTTGATGCTTCATTCTCCCAATCTGGGAAGACTTATCAGCAACCTTGCTATACCAGTGTCTTGCCACATCTGCCCACACCTCTCTGCCGCGAAGGTCAGATTCCTCCCCAGCGATCCCGTATCGAGCCAAATCCCCTAAGCATTCAATCCAGGTATCCTTAAATCACGGAAAACTCTCAAAGTAAAAGAACCATCATGGAATAGGCGGGGTATATAAAGGACAACACGGAGCTGACTCGGGTAGCCTGTGGTGCAAAAGTTCCACAAAGGAGTGTGTGGTTCTAGGGGCTGACAAGTTATTGAATGCGTTGACTGGTGCGGGCGTTGGTACTCCATAATGGCCATGAGGCGTGCATCGTCTTTGGGGACCATCGCCGCGGCCCCGCCTCCGTGGCTCTTCATCTTCTGCTGCGCTCACGCGGAACTTGTTCGGCCCTGCCCCAACTTTGTGCAAAGATAATCATTTCCTGGATTCCAGGAGTCGGAGGCGGTCTTGGATGGCGTACTTCCACTCCTTCGAAACTTTATATATAAAAAGGCAAAATAGGATTATTAGCACAGCAAAGAAGCAGAGTATCATCGTTATGCTGGACCAAAGAGAAGCCGCTAGAAGCGCTCGACCATTCGGCACGGGATCCACCTGTTGGACAGCAAGGGCAACCTGCAATGCGCTCAGAACTACTGAGGCAACTCCAATCAGAAACAAAGTTGGCCCGTAGAAGCGGGCAAAATATTCGCTGTACTGGTACTCAACTCGCTGGAAATGTGATTTTCCGAGAAGGAATGGTGCGTAGAAATTAAGCCTGGTCAGTCTAATCTCGCCGTAGGCATAACGCTCAGATACATCCTGGTTAGAGATCCCGCCCAGGTTTGTTGTAAACGAGCAGAATTGTTCCCAGGTAATCTCCTTCGGGACGAGGTGCAGAGTTGGATCTTGCGCGACATAGAAGTCAGATTCAGACCTTACAAGATAGAAGTATGTCCTGAGATAGCCCAAAGCCGCCTTTCGGACACTGCTATAACGGCTCCAAGGCGTACAGACTGCTTCGTTACCCAAATAGCGTCGCCAAAAGTTGTACGACGTGAGATATCGGGGGAGGGGTTTCACAAATATTCGATCGCGGATCCACACCAGATGCAATTTCGGATCCTCGGTTACGATGATGGTTCGCCCTTTTACAAACTGTCGGTGGAGGGGGGAAATATTCGCGCTGTCCTGCTTTGACATCCACCAGAGCCTACCCGCCATCCGATCCAGGTCAACCGAGCAGTATTCTTTCTCGAGAAAGTTCAGCAGCCCATTTTGATCCTGAAGTGATATATCAGGATATCCCGGAAGGTTTTTGGCTGAAGGTTCGCTTGCCACTCGATGTGGGTCGGGATCGAACGCTGTGCTGAGCTGGCACTCTTTTGGAAACGGCGGCTCCATGAATCTTCAGAAGGACGCTCCAAAAATCAGGCCTTTAACAACAGGGTTGAATAGCGCTCTGTGTGAGAATAATTGAAGGGCCCTTCAACGAGTTTGCTCACTCTTTTGTTTCCCTCTCCCTACGACATGGGCTGCGATTGTTTTGCTGGCACCTGAAAGTCTTTCCTTTATCCAATCAGAAATGTGGCTTCGGGTTGCCGCCCTCAGCCTTCCTTCGCCAGTCGACCTCACTTGATGCTGTCTGCCTTGTCAAAACCCTCACAGTTTATAGTAGGCCATTGCTTTTTGTCTATGCACCTCCAGGACCGGCAATATGGCCTATCTAGATCAGAGCACAATCGTCATAAGTGCTCTCATCGCCCTTGCAATTGCAATCTGGTGCCATCCACTCTCGTCTCGCTCCTCCGGGAAATTACCACCGAAACCCAAAAGGGCATTGACCTTACGTGTCGACGAGGTTCCCATTGACAAGGCGCACGCAGCCTTTAAGAGCGACCTAGAAACTATTATCGGGCGCGATCAAGCTTTGGAAAATGATACAATTTCCATATTGCAGCACCTCCTGGTACGAAGGGATCGGAAGGTGGCTTGTGGAACTGCCACCTTCTATACTTCAATTCCAGCAAGTGAATTACTTACCCGACTACACCGGGCGAGCTTTGGCTTTCAGTACCGCTTCGATATCAAGTTCTATGGAATCACCCCGCTTTATGAGACAGGCGGAGCCGCAGATGTTGAGTAGGCACCTCAGTCTATGAAAAAATTGTACGTCGCTCACGTATGCCACTCATCTCACAGTGTGATCGCTGTACCCGGCCTTGGGAGTCATGCGATTGGCTCCTGGAAGTCATCTAGCAACAACGACCTTTGGCTTCGCGACTATCTTCCAGACCACATACCAGACATCCGAGTGCTTTTGTATGGGTACGACAGTACACTTCAGGGGAGCGACTCTAAGGATTCGATCGAGGATCTAGGAACCCGCTTTCTAGAAACAGTAAAAGCTTTCCGTGCGGATATGGTATGTGAGATTGAGGAGTGTGAAAACCATGGCTCATTCTGTGGTAGACAGATCGCCGTCCCATTATATTTATCGGCCATAGCCTAGGAGGTTTGCTGATCAAAGAGGTAAGGCCGTTTACTTGTCTTGGCCGTCAGCTACTCGACTCTTACTGTATGACAGGCGTTGGTTCGTGCGAGCAGGAAATTCGATGATCCACAAAACCACAGGCTCTGCACAGCTTGCTATGGATTGCTTCTCTTCGGTGTTCCGAATCTTGGATTGCGAAATGAACAGCTAAGCAGTATCGTCAAAGGCCAGCCGAATGAAGGCTTGATACGAGATCTCGTAGTTGACAGAGATTCGGAACCATCCCCGTTTTTAAAGAGAATTTCCGGCCAATTCTCTGAGAGTTGTAAAGGCCGGTATCGAGTAATATCATTCTTCGAGCGAAAACTGAGCCCAACCATACAAGTTAAGATATCCTGTGAGAAAAGAAAAAATGCGGACACTAATAATTGTACTGTAGATTCAGCCTGACGGAACCTTGGCCAAGACCGGTCAGAAGATGTTTATGGTCACAGAGAAGTCGGCGACCAGCACAGGCTTGACCGCGGTAGCTGACGAAAATAACATTCCTCTCAACACCGACCACTCGGGTCTTGTGAAGTACGAAAGTAAGAGCCAAGAGGAATACCTCATTGTGAAGGAAAAGCTCAAGTTACTTGTCACTGAGGCGAGTCAGGAGGTTCCCAAGCGGTTTTCACAGGATAGTATGTAATTGATAGGCCTACATAGACTGTATCAAGTATTAGCACTAATGTACAGCTTTAGGCCTCACACCTAAACAGCAGCATCTTTGGAATGATCTCAATCAGCCGCCATATACATCATTCAGGAACTCATCCAAACTGGCCAAACCAGAGAAAGGAACTCTAGAATGGCTCAATCAGACAGAAGATACAGATCATAATGTGATCGTCCAGCGTCACCTGTCTTCAGCAAGCCTGCACATGGAGGACTTTAGATCATGGAGGGACTCAAACAAATCGGAAAGCCTTCTTGTGACTGCACCGCCCGGTCGTGGTAAATCAGTACTGTCGAATTTTGTTTTGGGACATCTTGAAAGCAGAATACCGCAAACGACGTTACTTCCTACCAAAATTATATACTATTTTTGTAACATCAAGAACGAGGAAGTTTCACGTAACGCGAGATCAGTTCTCCGGGCACTGATTATTCAACTCTGTGAAAATCAGCGGCATTTATTTCAACTCCTTCCTTCGGAATATCAAAGAACCAGCGAGCGTTTCTTCTCAGCACCATTCGAAACATTACTACATATATTTAGGAAGTTACTTCGAGAAAATGCATACGCTAGTGTCTATTGTGTCATCGACGGCCTGGATGTTTACAAAGACGAAATGGATGAGCTGATCACGAAACTGATTGAGGACTTTAACCCTGAATCCACAGCAGAAACGTCCGTTGTTTTGAAATTGTTTTGCACGTCAAGACCGGAAAGGCATATACTTGACCTGTGGAAACGGGCGACACACAGGATCCTTCGGTGCCATCCCCATGATCTCAACCTCTTCATCAACTCCCGGCTTGAGGGTTTAGAAGAGAAGTTCAATGACGATATGAAACAAACAATTAAAACTCAATTGTCTCAAGGCGCCAATGATACGTTTCTCTGGCTTGAGGTCGTCCTTAGGAGGATTAGGGCAATCAAACTGCCGAGCCTTAAAAGAATTACGGAAACAATCAAGAACAGTCCGCAAGACCTGGATGAGCTGTACCAAGTCATCATTGGACGGGCACTGGAAGAAGATATTGACAGCGCTCGCTTCTTGGCCTGGGTAGTATATGCTAAATACCCTCTTGACCTCGAGACTCTAGCAGACGCCGTGGCTATCGATCCTAGAAAGAAGTACAAGACTTACACGGACTGCCTTCAGGACCGGCCACACCTGACACCAGATGAGGTACACAAAGACTTTGGCATGCTTGTTGACGTCATTGGAGGCAAGATATTTCTCATACATCAGTCTGTCAAAGACTATTTTGAGAGTCACAACCCCCTCCAGCCCCTCATAGGAATCCACCCTCGGCTGGCTCTGACCCATATCACCATGGCATACCTGTCATTGGATGAGTTTAGGCTAGCCAAGAAGAACATAATGGAGCAAAAATATCCACTGTTGGAATATGCTGCTACCAATTGGTACTCTCACATTGAGGCAGCCGCTGAGATAAATTGCCATAACTCCATCAAGGATTTTCTAAAGACGATTCTTCCCCCTAACCCTAACGCACAAGTATGGCTTAGTGTGAACAAATACTTAAGATTGTTTCCAAATTATTTGCCTACTCCTCGGGCGAGCGAAATCTCAATTAGACTTGACATTAAATGGCTGGCAGAATTACTGTTAAATGAGGAACTACCAGAAGTTAAAGATGATTTTGATAAAGATTGTCTATCAGCAGCTGCAGTTTATGGTGGAAGAGTGTTAAAAGCTTTACTGGAACATGAAAAGGGTATACAGTTTAAGATTTCAGGTGATATTGTCGAAAAGATTGCAGGAATGCACCATTATAGCATGATGAACCTTCTTCTGGACCGACGAGGAGCAGATATCATGATTACTGAGGAGGTGCTCAAAGCAGCTGCAGAGAATTTGCACAGTGGCAAGGAAGTGATGGCACTTCTTCTTAATCAGCAAGATGCAGACATTAAGATCACTGAGAAGGTGCTTAAAGCAGCTGCAGAGAATCAGAACAGTGGCAAGGAAGTGATGGCACTTCTTCTTAATCAACAAGATACAGACATTAAGATCACTGAGAAGGTGCTCAAAGCAGCTGCAGAGAATCAGCACAGTGGCAAGGAAGTGATGGCACTGCTTCTTAATCAACAAGATGCAGACATTAAGATCACTGAGGAGGTGCTTAAAGCAGCTGCAGAGAATCAGAACAGTGGCAAGGAAGTGATGGCACTTCTTCTTAATCAACAAGATACAGACATTAAGATCACTGAGAAGGTGCTCAAAGCAGCTGCAGAGAATTTGCACAGTGGCAAGGAAGTGATGGCACTGCTTCTTAATCAACAAGATGCAGACATTAAGATCACTGAGATGGTGCTCATAACAGCTGCAGGAAATGAAGAGAGTGGCAAGGAAGTAATGGCACTGCTTCTTAATCAACAAGATGCAGACATTAAAATCACTGAGGAGATGCTCAAAGCAGCTGCAGGGAATTGGTACAGTGGCAAGGAAATGATGGCACTGCTTCTTAATCAACAAGAAGCAGACATTAAGATCACTGAGAAGGTGCTCAAAGCAGCTGCAGAGAATCAGCACAGTGGCAAGGAAGTGATGGCACTGCTTCTTAATCAACAAGATGCAGACATTAAGATTACTGAGGAGGTGCTTAAAGCAGCTGCAAGGAATTGGTACAGTGGCAAGAAAGTGATGGCACTGCTTCTTAATCAACAAGAAGCAGACATTAAGATCACTGAGGAGGTGCTCAAAGCAGCTGCAGGGAATAAATACAGTGGCAAGGAAGTGATGACACTGCTTCTTAATCAACAAGATACAGATATTAAGATCACTGAGGAGGTGCTTAAAGCAGCTGCAAGGAATTGGTACAGTGGCAAGAAAGTGATGGCACTGCTTCTTAATCAACAAGAAGCAGACATTAAGATCACTGAGGAGGTGCTCATAACAGCTGCAGGGAATGAGAAGAGTGGCAAGAAAGTGATGGCACTGCTTCTTAATCAACAAGATGCAGACATTAAGATCACTGAGGAGGTGCTCAAAGCAGCTGCAAGGAATTGGTACAGTGGCAAGAAAGTGATGACACTGCTTCTTAATCAACAAGATGCAGACATTAAGATCACTGAGAATGTGCTCAAAGCAGCTGCAGGGAATAAATACAGTGGCAAGGAAGTGATGGCACTGCTTCTCAAATATCAATCAACAAGAAGCAGACATTAAGATTACTGAGGATGTGAGGATTCACCTGTGAACCCCTTACACTAATGAACAACACTGCCTATAAAGGCTGGAAGCTGCTTGTGAGATGTTGGGAATGGATATATGTTTGTGAGATGCTAAGTCACATGCTCACAAGCACATATAAAAGGCAACCACTGCGCAAACTGTGAGGATTGTACTTCGCGGATCAGCGTGGCAATAGATCTCTAGTACAAATTGTATGTAGAAAGGAATACATGAAGGTAAAAGTCTTATATTCTTCTAGCAACTGTGTACGACGGTAAACAAGATTGCCACTGGCCTCCATTAAGGGGTTCATGCAGTGGCTGCCTTTCATGTGTGCTCGTGAATGTTGTTTGTCGGTGTAAGGGGTTCGCCGGCGAATCCTTACAAAGATCTAGATTTTAGACTGTCAACCAGGCCTGCTATTCCATCTCATCATAAGAGAGAATATCCAGGAACAGCGCAAGAAGGGTGGGAGAAAAGAAAGAGTCTCAAAATGAAAACTCTTTTCACTTCTTTGCTAAACAGTAAAAGAGGTAATATGCCAAAACAAATTTTGTTCTTCCAAGAGCATAATATTTTTTCTTTTTGCCGCCGACATTGGACAACAAATATAAACATCACCAGGGACTAGTCTAGTCAATCACACATACACAAAAATAAAAAAGGAACAAAAAGAAAAAATAAAATAAAAAAATAAAACACTAGCTTTACACCTTGTGAATTGTGCAGATAAGATCCTGTCCATCCACAGAATCCCCTTCCTTCACAAGTAATCCGGAGATGGTGCCATGATGTGGTGCTGAGATGACCATTTCCTATAACACACACAAGTCAGTTAAATAACTCTCCCCTTAACTTGAAAAACACCCAATATGAATAGATCCACTTACCATCTTCATAGCGCTAAGAACGGCAATTGGGTCTCCTTTCTTCACTTCCAATCCATCGTGGACTCTAATCTCGACCACAACACCGCTCATGGGCGCGCCGACCTGGCTGCTGTTGTTGGGATCGGCCTTCGGCCTGCTCGTGTTGTCGACAGCCGCGAGGATATCGTCAACAGCGACCTGTCGGACTTCTCCGTTCATCTCGTAGAAGACTTCGCGCTGGCCGGTCTGCTCGGAGAGCGGCCCGACGGCCAACAACTTGAGGATCAGCACCTTGCCCTGCTCAAGTTCGACGGAGAACTCCTCGCCGATCTCCGGTCTGGAGAGGAAGTACTTGGTCGGGAGGACGGAGAGATCTCCGTACTTGGAGACGAAGTTGCGGTAGTCCTCGTAGACCTTGGGATACATCGCGAAACTGGCCACGTCGCACTCGGTGGCAGTGCCGTATTTCTCCTTGAGATCGGCCTTGATCTTCACGAGATCCAGAGGCGGGAGGTGCAGGCCGGGGCGGCTGTCCAACTTCCGGCGGTCACGGAGGGCCTTGGAGCGAAGGGGCTCGGGGAAGCCGCCGTAAGGCTGGCCCATGAGACCCTCGAGGAATTCGAGGACGGAGCCGGGGAAGTCGAGCTCGCCGGCACGGGCGATAACGTCGTCGGGGGTGAGCTTGTTGGAGACCATGAACTGCGCAAGGTCACCAACAACCTTGGAAGTAGGTGTGACCTTGACGATGTCGCCGAGAAGGTCGTTGGCCTGCTTGTACGCCTTCTTGGTCTCGGCCCACTGGGTCCCGAGACCGAGCTGGTGGGCCTGGAAGATCAGGTTGGTGAGCTGGCCGCCGGGGATCTCGTGCTCGTAGACCTCGGGATCGGGTCCGGTCAAGCCAGCCTCGAACGGAGAGTAGAGGAGGCGCAGCTGAGCCCAGTAGGAGTCGATGGCGCGGACGTTTCGGATGTCAAGCTTTGGATCGCACTCGGTGCCTTCGAGGGAAGCCAGGATGGCTCCGACGCTGGGCTGGGAGGTCATTCCGGACATGCTGTCGGTGGCGGCGTCGACGGCATCAGCGCCAGCCAAGGCGCAAGCCACCATGGAGGCGACACCGGTGCCAGCGGAGTCGTGGGTGTGAACGTGGATGGGAAGATCGGGGTACTTCTTGCGGATCGCTCCGATGAGCATGGTGGCTGCCTGGGGCTTCAACACACCCGCCATGTCCTTGATACCGAGGACATGGGTGCCGAGGGCGACGATCTTGTCGACAAGATCAAGGTAGTAGTTGAGGTTGTACTTCTTGTTGGGGTTCAACATGTCACCGCTATAGCAGAGAGTACCCTCGACGACACCTCCAGCGGCCTGGACGGCCTTCATGCCGACCTCAAGCTGGTGGATATCGTTCAAGGCATCGAAGACACGGAAGATATCGACACCGTACTTCTTTGCCTGTTTGCAGAAGTGGTAAATGGCGTTATCAGGGAGGCTAGGGGATCAGTTAGCGCCGGATCTTATTTTTACTTTTATTTTTTCTATTTTTATTTATTTAATATTTTTTTTTTTCCCCTTTGGATTCAACTTACGAAGAGTAGGCGACACCGTTGGCTCCACGGAGCAACATCTGGAACGGAATGTTTGGAACAGCCTTGCGAAGCTTCCGGAGACGGTCCCAGGGATCCTCGTAAAGGAATCTCATGGCGACATCGAAGGTGGCGCCGCCCCAGCACTCCAGACTGTAGGCGTTGCTGTAGGCATGGCTCGTCTCCTTTGCGATGTTGACCAGATCGACGGTTCGGACACGGGTGGCGAGGAGAGACTGGTGGGCGTCGCGCCATGTGGTGTCCATGATCAAGCAGCCCTTGTTGGCACGGACGGCCTTGGCGAACGCGGCGGGACCCTGCTGGTCGAGGATCTGCTTCCACCCCTTCTGGCAGGGGACGGAGACGTCGACGGGTGTTCCGGCCTCGTCGACGATGGTGGGCATGCTGATGGCGCCCTTGAACTTGGGCTCGCCGATCTGGCCCTTGATCCTGCTGCCGTTGACGGCAATGTCGCCGAGGTAGGCGAGGAGCTTCTGGGCGCGGTTCTGGCTGCCGATGAGGGCGAAGAGCTCGGGGGTGTCGTCGATGAAGGTGGTCCAGCAGGTGCCCTGGATGAAGGTCGGGTGGGTCAGGAGGGAGGCGAGGAAGGGGATGTTGGTCTTGACGCCGCGGATGCGGAACTCGACGAGGGCACGGAGCATCTTGCGGCGGACGATCTCGTAGGTTGAGCCGTGGCAGGTGCACTTGACCAGCATGGAGTCGTAGTGCGGGGTGATGATGGAGCCGGCGAAGCCGTTTCCGCCGTCGAGACGGACGCCGTTGCCGCCGGCGGAGCGGTAGACCTCGATCTTGCCGGTGTCGGGCTGGAAGCCCTTTGTGGGATCTTCGGTGGTGATGCGGCACTGGATGGCGAAGCCTCTGGTGGAGATGCGGTCCTGGGTGAGGCCGAGCTGCTCGAGGGTGGCGCCGGCGGCGATCTGGATCTGGGCGGCGACGATGTCGATGCCGGTGATCTCCTCGGTGATGGTGTGCTCGACCTGGATGCGGGGGTTGATCTCGATGAAGTAGTAGCGGTTGAGCTGGTCGACGAGGAACTCGGCGGTGCCGGCGTTGCGGTAGCTGACGGACTTGGCCAGCTTGACGGCGTCGGCGAGGATGCTGTCGCGGACGTCGACGGGGAGGTCCTTGGCCGGGGCGAGCTCGACGACCTTCTGGTGGCGGCGCTGGACGCTGCAGTCACGCTCGTAGAGGTGGACGACGTTGCCGTGGTTGTCGCCGAGCAGCTGGACCTCGATGTGCTTGGGCCTGTCAAGGAAGCGCTCGACGAAGACGGTGCCGTTGCCGAAGGCGGATTTGGCCTCCGAGGTGGCGCGCTCGAAGGAGTCGCGGAGGGACTCCTGGTCGCGGACGACACGCATGCCGCGGCCACCGCCGCCGAAGGCGGCCTTGATGATGATGGGGAAGCCGTACTGGTCGGTGAAGGCCTTGACCTCCTCGAAGCGGGAGACGGGGCCCTCGGTCCCGGGGACGACGGGGACGCCGCACTTGATGGCGAGGCGACGGGCGGAGACCTTGTCGCCCAGGGCGTCGATGGTGTCCGGCGTGGGGCCGACGAAGACGAGGCCGGCCTTCTCGACGTTGCGGGCGAACTCAGCGTTCTCGGAGAGGAAGCCGTAGCCCGGGTGGATGAGGTGGACGCCGTGCTGGACGGCGATGCGGATGATCTCGTCGCCGGCGAGATAGGCGCCGACGGGGGTGAACTGGCCCCTCCGGCCGATCATGTAGGCCTCGTCCGCCTTCTGGCGGTGCATGCTGAGGCGGTCCTCGTAGGAGTAGACGGCGACGGTCTGGAGGGACAGCTCGTGGGCGGTGCGGAAGATGCGGATGGGGATCTCGCCGCGGTTGGCGACGAGGATCTTGTGGAACTGCATGATGGTGGAGTTTGCGCGCAGTCTGCGGTGGACGGAGTGCTCGTAGTTGGAGGGGGAGTGGTCCTCGACGACGTCGTCGATCGCCTCCTCGGGCACGACGGAGACGGGTGGATTGGAGGCAGCCATGGTGCGATGGTCAGGACGAAGAAGAGGGGAGAGGGTTCCTTTCGGGAGGTTCGACGGTAGCCTCCCGGTGGGGAGTGAAAGGGTAGAGAGAGAGCGGTCAATTGAGAGAAATATGAATTGAGAGGAAATATGAATTGAGATGAAGATGATGTGATGAATTGAGAAGAAGAGAAGAAGCAGAGAAGAAGATGAAGAAGATGAAGAAGAGAAGAAGAAGAAGAGAAGAAGAAGAGAAAAAGAGCGGGCGGCGGTCGATGATGGACGATGATGCGAAAAAGGTGGGGTAAAGTCGAGTCGAGTTGAGTTTTAGAAAATATAGCTTTACCGACAGAATATATAGAATATACAGACTATACGGACTACTCTGTATATATATAGAAATGGATATAGAAATAGAATAGAATAGAATAAGACTATTTACTGATTAAAACTGAGATAATATCCTGCTTTTTACCGTTTCTTCTGCTCTACTGAATCTATCTACTCTCCGTCTCACGATGACTCGAATCCGTTCCCCGACAGCGCCGGAAGATTTAGGAACCCCCAACGACAGACCACCGTCTAGAACAGAAGAAGAGGTAAAATAAATTAATTAATTAATAAAAAAAAAGAAAAAAAAGAGAGAGAGAGCAGCTTCAAACTCAAAAGACTCGAGGAAAAGCGAGTAACTTGGTCGTCCTGCTGCTCTGATCTGAAGCCATTTTGATTTGAAGTCGGGATTTCGAGACAAAAAGTCGAAGATGAGGAGATATCTTTTCAATCGACAAAACCCCCCCTGTGTCAGCTGCAAAACTCCCTCTGTTTCTTCTTCTTCTTCTTCTTCTTCTTCTTCTTTTCTTCTCTTTTGCGCTTGTTCTAAACTGACTGCATGTAACTAAACTGACTCTCCGTGCGCCATCGACTTCCCTGCTTTATATTAGTTAGTGTTATTATTATTATTTATTTAACTACTCTGTACTCTGTACTTCACTGTGTTATTATTATTATTTATTTCATCTCAATGGAATGGCCACCAGATGAACTTAACGAGTATCTACAGCTGATCAACCAATCTACTTATACCTTTACTGGAAGCACCTCAGAGACTGGAAGCACTGCACATACAGAGAATAGATAGAGTATTGAAAAAAGCAGAATGAATTGAAGAGGAAAATCGCTTTCCGTCGGGCCGAGACCGAGGATGTCGCGACGTCATTCTCCTTGTTCTTCTTTTCTTCTTTTCTTCTCTTCTTTTCTTCTTCTCCTTGTTCTGCTTTTCAGGGTTCAGGAGGGGTTGGTTAGGGATAGGGGTAATTAGGGAGTTTAGTCCTTCTTCGTCTTTCCAACCCTTTTTTTTCTTTCTTTCTTTTTTCTTCTTCTTTTCTTTTATCCTTTTTTTCCCTTTTTTTTTGTTCCTGTGACAGCTCCCTAAACTCTCTAACCAACTCTCATTTGTGGAGAAAATATTAAAAAAAAGACAACTTTCAGGTGAAAAATGGCGTCAACTCGCAGCTCTCTCTCTTTTTTTTTTTCTTTTTTCCCCGCTTTTTCAATTCTCTTGTTTTTTTTAATATTTTCTTTTCTCCTTTCTTCTCCACACCGGCTGTCGGGGAAAAAAAAAAAAAGAAAAAAGCCGGAAAATCGCATAATGCCAAGTCGGAGAAGCGCTTCTTCTGTTCAGACGTACAGTACTCCGTACATACAGATAAACCAATTTAAAAGCGGCATAAAGTGAAAAAACCTGCATTGGAGAATGAATACCTTTTCCCACCAAGATACGGGAGTACTAAAAGTATTTTCCCCCAGCGAGAAGAACAAGGAAAATAAAACAGCTCTCGAAGACGTTAGCTAGGATTACAGGAGCAAAAATTAAAAAAAAAAGGCATAATTCAAGGCATACAACAACAGTAGAAAGGAGCACCTGAAGTCCGAAGAAACAAAGAAAAAATAAAAAAAAAAATTCGAATCTATTGTCACAAACTAAGTAAAATGCAGTCATGGCGCCCCTTTCCCCGTCCCACCGGCCTAGATAAACTACCAATCGTCCTCCTGATTAATAATTTTTCTTTTTTTTTTTTTTTTTTAGAATGGCCGGAAGCCCGTCATCTGAGGCGTGATCCCATTTGTCTGCCCTCCAAGCGGCATCGCGTGCGCTGCTGGGCTGGCCGGTCCCTGCGTCAGCATCAGTCTCGTCCCCCCAAGCACCGGCGTGTTGTCCTCCTCCTTCTGCTGCGCCGCCTCCTTCGCCTTGCGCTCCTCGTTGTCCTTCTTCAGCATCTCGATCGTCCGCACCTGCTGGCTCAGCATGTTGATCATGTACGGCATCGTGAAGTCGTTCAGCCCGTGTCGCCACGACATCTCAAGCACCACGTCCGGCCGGATCAGATCGTAGCACGCGTACAGCATGCCCACATAGCACTCGCGGCTGCCGATGTCCACAAACTGTAGTTTTCATCCGTCAGCATATATATATGTGTGTGTGTGTGTATGTGTATGTGTATGTAAAGGGAACAAAGAAAATAAAGTGACATCACTTACGTAACGTAAAAGGTCCTCCACAACCTCGGTCTTGCCCGAAATTGCCGCTGTCTCGATCGCATCCTTGAAGAGCTTGTCCTGCTTCGACAGCGAGATCGACTTCTCCCACCGCTTGTTCTTGCGGTAGATGCTCGCCGCGATCTGTCGGAAGAACACCAGGTCGTGCTTCTCGAGCCTCTGCGCCAGCTCAACCGGGTCGTAGTTGTCGTGGTTCTCAACGGAGTCGCGCAGCGTCTTGTAGTCCTCTTCCTCGATCAGCAGATCGTTGATCGCGTTGTTGACCGCTTTCTTGTTCTGGGGCTGGACGTTGAGCAGGAACGGCTTGATCAGCGGGATGTTGTCGGACTTCTCGAACATGCGCACCACCCGATTCACATCGATCCGTGGCGTAAGAACTTGCAGCAGGTCCGTCAGCAGCAGCGGCTGTTCCTGGAGGTAGAAGTTTAGTGCCCGGTAGTAGATCTCCAGGTTCGCCACCTTCACAATGATGTCCTTGAAGGAGTGGTGTTCCCAGGCATCCGCCGCCCGCTCCATCATCGCCAAGGCAGCGTTATCCCACTCGTCGTAATGGCAGTACAAGAATACCAGCTCGGGCCAGAGATTCGCTTCCTCGCAGGCTCGGATCATCTTGGGGATATTGATGCGTGTCCAGAAAAGCTTCAGGTGCTCCATCACTCTGTCCGGGTGATATCTCGACAGGGCGATGCCGAGCTCGGTGAACATGCCCATGTGTGCCCTCTCTAAGCCTAGACCGGCCTCGAGCAAAGCGATGAGCTCGTCGAAGTATCCGTTACGCTCATACTGGCGCACCAGGTCCTGCAACTCCTCCGCGTGGACGATGAGGTTGAGACCGCAGATCTGGGCCAGCCGGAACTCTTTCTTGGCAACACAGGCCTCGTTAACCTGCTTCCAGACCTTGACGCTGTTTCCTTTTCGAGCGCATTCGACCGCAGCCTGGTAATCCTCGAGATGGACGAGGGTGGTGGCGAGTTTTGCCCAGTTGGAGATACTAGTGAAGAAGATCTTGGCGGCTTCGTGATACCCTTCTTCGTAGGCCTTGTCGCCAGAAGCTTCGATGTCTGCAACGTTAGCTCCGCGAAGGAAGTCTTCAAGCTCAGGAAGCTGGTTAAGTCTGGCATAGGAGAGGGCGAGCGCAGTGTCGACAGCCGGCTCACGGAGAGTCTTTCGGGCCATCTTCAAGAATTCGACGAGGTCCTCGTCCTTGCCGGCGTGAGTGGCGGTCTCAATGACTTCATTGTAGTTCGATGGGTCTCCAGCCCGGATATACGAAGCAATGGCATCGGAAACGCGAAGGCCATCCAGCTGAGCCTTTGCTACTTTGCTCCAGACTTCTGGGAGCTCAACACGTTCAGCGTACTCTTGCGCGCGGTCAATGCTGACAATATAGTCGACAAGCACGTTTGTGGCGGAGATGTGGTTGTCAACCTTCTTGTAGATCTCGAACGCTTCTTCATACAGGCCGACAGACAGACACATGCTTGCGATTTCATCGGCATTGAACTCTGTCAGCTGGTGGATGTAATCCATCAACCGGCCCTTGTCCGCCTTGGCAGCCGTAAGCATCAAGAGATTCTGCAGACTGCTGTTGTCGCTGAATGGAGATGGCTCCAGGATAATCTTCTCCAAGAGCTCGATCAGCTCTGTAGGCAAATCAGCATCGAGGAAAGCTTTAACGGCAATGGAAACCTTGTCTGGCTCGGCTGATTCTGGCACGGCGGTGGCAATCACTTGATCGACCAGAGAGCGGCGGTGGATGTTATTGCTGTTTAATACAAAGGCCCAAATCTCCGGGTCGGCGCGTTCAAGAAGATATCTTGCCTGGGCTCGGTACATCGAATTCTCATTGGTGATGTTGATGAGCTCCAAGTCATTTTGGCCCTTTCGGTACGCAACGTAAGCCAAGTTTGGATCACGCTTCTCGCAATATTTACCGACAACCAATGTATCGTAGAGATCATTCTCCTTCAAGAACTTCTCGGGATTATTGTTGCTATCAATGTAAATCTTGGCAAGGGCGTTATATACTGCCTGTTGCTGGTTTCCGGTAGCAAGAGTGCTCTCAAGGAATGGAAGGAGAATCTTCAAGCGGTTCCGGGTCTCTACCTCGGAGACAAGCTCATCGATCGGAATGGACGAAGGATCCACGGTTGAAAGGAGATTCTTGATAATGCCCTCATCGCAATCGACGTCGAGAAGTCCTCCCACAACAGCTGGTGTTCGAGACGGATTGACTCTCTGAACATATACCTCAATGGAATTGTACTGCTGATTCTGGTACAGGTAAAGGACTAAATCGTGGATGAAATTGAATCTGTCACAGACAATAATTAGAGGAAGCTGCTCGGTGAGACGGGCCTCCTTGAGGAAGTTCTTGACTTTCTCAGCATTATAGTAGTTGCTCTCACGGCAGATTCGCTCAACCTCTGTCATCTGGCCCATCTTGGTAGCGGCTTCGATATACTTGAAGTGCACGTCAGGATCTTCGCTCAAATTGACGATGCTGCCAAGGTAGTAGTATAGGCCTTCTGCCGTTCGGTATTTCTCGAGGAGATTGATCAAGTTGGTCGCGCCCAACAGGTCCGAGTACTTGGTAGCCAACTGCACCACGGCTTGAAGATTCTGCCGCAGGTTCACTTTGAGCATTTCGTTCATACACTCCAAGGACTGTTCAACTGACAAGCGCCCGAAGTAATTGGACAGCCAGTCGGGATTTAATTTATCGGTCCGGACGATATTGCGCATGATGACCGCAGGATCCTCGGTGTTCTCCAAAGCTCGCTGGTACAACCCAGCACCTTCGCAGAGTTGTGAGACCCTGGCCTTGTCGTAATGGGTGAACATTTCATTTCCGAGAATAGCATCCGCAACCTGAGGAGCATTTACGAGATTCATTTCCAGGAGGCGAGTCTGGAGGTGCCCATGTTCCGGCTTGTTGTCCTTGAGGGCATCCAGCAAGAAAGCAGTGGCTTGTTGGATCATATTTTGAGATATGAAAACATCAACCACACGATCGAGATCGACGACGGCGCCACTCTCCTCGCTAACAAGTTGACCAGCGAACTCGGCACACTTTTCGGGGTTAACGCGAACGATGTGCTGGAGAAGTTGGACATAATCAGGCTGGAAGCCAACTTGCTTGGAGTAAGCAATAATCTTGTCAAACTGTCCGGTTTCCGCAAACCCAGCGACAACTTTGTGGGGGACGTTTGCCTTCAAATAGATCCCCAAAGCAAGGCCAACATCGTATGGTCGCACAATATCACCCAGCTCCTCAGAACACTCAAGCTTGTCCTCACTAAGCCATTTTTCGAGCAGATGCTTTCGACTCTGCTGCATAACGGGTCGAACCAATTCAATACTTTCATACTTGTTTAACGAACCCTTGTCCAACAGCATGCCGAAATACTGGAGAATGACGGACATTCCTTGTGCACTCTGAGGAGCGCTCTTGAGGCGGTTAATGGTCTCCGGGGTACGGAGGAAGCCACGTGGTGAGTTTGCCGCAACCTTTGCAGCCTCTATATAGTTCTGCTGGGAAAGGAGCGTCTCGAATTGTCTCTGGAGAAGATTATCTGCACCTGGAAGGCCTCCCTTAGCAGCCAGCTTAACAGCAAGCGATGTGTTGGCTGGATTATCGAGGAGGTAAGGAATGATGGTGCTCTCGTCAACGCTGACGGATAGGACTTGACCCTTGCGGTTGACCCCGACCAGACCCGTGGATTCCGAGTCTGGAGTCGTAACGAAGATCGTCTCGCTTGAGATGCGGTTCATGAAAATGCACGTGCCGGTTTCTAGGTCATATAGATGAATGAAGCCGAATTTTGTGACGAGATATACAATGTCATATTTCTTCGAAACCTGCATCGCGACCGGGAAATCATTGGTCGCCTCTGGTGGGAAGTAGATCTCCACAGCCTTCTTCGCAAACTTCGGATTAGGTTCTTGGTGATCGATCTCCGCGATCTGCAGTTTTGCTCCGGTTTGAGTGCGAACAGCAAACGTGAAAAGCTTGTGCGGCAAGGGGGAGCCTTCGACAGAGATGGATGCGAAAGCGGCGGCATGGCCTTCAATGTGCTGTGAAATACCACGCTCGACGGAGTGAAGCTGCATCGTTCCAACAATGCGTCCTTGCTGCTGGCTGATACCGACGACAGCCATCCATTTCTGATCTTCGTTGACTTTGTAGCTGATGATTTGGCATCCCTACAAGCAATGCATTAGCACGTAATCGCAACGAGGAAGTATTCAGGACACACGTTTAGATTAGCGATGCGGTCAAACATCTTTATAGGCGCATGCTGAGACGGATCGAAGACGTTCCAATGGTAAACCGCAGCCTCTGTTACCAGGCCCAAACTCGTCTCGCTGAACCATTTCCAATACACAACATCCTCGGTGAGCACGGCGGATTTCAATTTCTCCTTCGCCTGGAGGTCAAAGACTTGAACGGTTCTACCCTGGGCCTTGAGGGCGATGATGTTTCGGTTCCAATGCATGATAGCATTATCGGCGTTGATGGGCCGACGAACGACTTCATTATTATTCTTGAGGTTGATGATAATGACTTGCGTTTTGTCACTTTCGGGTAACTTTTGACGAACGCACACGAATGAATCGGATTCAAGGGTCTGGATGGTTCAAACACATGGGCGATTAGCGGAGAGGAGAGAGTTGTAGGGACAGCAGGTACACTTACACATGAATTGAATCCGATAGATGCGGGCTACAGCACGCGTGATGTTAGCGGTGCACGAAATGCCAGAAACACCTCATGCATTCATCCCCAGAGGTTCGAATACACGAGGATATCCCAAGAACTTAACCGACTATCGTTGAGAGGGTCAAAAAGAGGCGAAATACATACCACAATATCGAGGTTCGTCAACTAGAGGAAACAGGTAGATTAGCGATCCAAAGCCCAATCGCGCATTCAACCCAGGGTGACCGGCCGGGAAACAAAAAAAAGGAAAAAGATAATACCTGAAGTAGTTCCGTAAATTTAATCGGAAGAGGCGCCATGTTTACCGACGGCCGTCAGGCAGCTCCCTCATCCAGCAATTCCCAAAGGTATGCAAAGGCTGAAGCGTTCGGGAGATGACGCCAGCAAATCAACAAAAGCCCAAACCTCCGCAAAGACCGCGAGAAAGCCAATTAAAAAAGGGGCGTAATTCCGTAAAAAGTGTAATTCCCAAGCGAGCAATGAAAGGCAAAGAAGAGTAAAGAAGAAGAAAAAAGGAAGAGGGGGGAATATGGGAATGAAGGCTAGAGAGGGATCGGGGGTGAGTGAGGTTGACGTTGAGCGGAAGTCCAAGCTGTTGTTTCTGGCTCCCTTCAGGAGGTCTGGGCGCTAGCAGCAAGTCACGTGTTCCCCGGCAACGACACGCATGTTCAAAACGCAAAACATTCACGGCGAACATCTTGTGAAGTCAACAAAGACAGCCGCCGCCGGAATCAGACCACCAGGCTGCATTCATCTCTACGGAACATGGCGAATGCAGCACGTCCTGCAAGGCCTTGTCGATGCCTCTCCGCCAATCAATCTCTGCGGTTGGATACTGCATGCCCTGAGGAGGACCACCCTGTGGCCCCGGCTCAATAACTTCCGGCGTACATGTTTGCTGGTGATTGAGGAAACTGGCATCTACTCAAGTGAACTGAATGAATTTTGACAACCGAGGTGAAAAGGATAAAGAGAGGACTGCAGTGAAAGCCCATTGCAGGAATCCAATGTTGAACTTTGTTTCATTTTTTTTCCCCCTCCCTAAAACCACCCTGGCATTAAATAAAACAAAGGAGCATTATCACATCATATTTCAAAAGAACTTAGCATCATCCCGTCAAATGTATGAGCTGAAAAGAAAAAAAGCCTATGCTTTTTCTAGCTTTGTTGAACTTAATGGTGGAACAGGCGGATGCCCTGTTGCACAAACACCATACCCAATTTCTCGGCCGTCTCAAACACAGCAGAGTCATTCTGGCTTCCACTCGGAGCTGCAATATACTTAACTCCCGACCGTGCAGCACGGAAGACGTTGTCCACGAAGGGGAACTGTTCTCTAGGTTAGTATAGTGGAACAATGGCCCGATAAATTAAACGGAGGTGAAATAGCACGTACAAATGCATCCGAAGAAATAGTCACCTCTCCCAATTTCTTCCCCCATTCTTCTCTCTCTTCCGGTGTAAAGGGTGCCGGGACTTCTTCAAACACTCGTTCATAATCTTGCTTCTCGACCTCGTTCTTGGGAACCTGTCCTGAGCACAGCATGTCGATTGCGTTGCTCTTCTCGGGTCTCTTGACGCCCGCCTTCCATTTGATGTTCAGCGCGCGGTCGTGGAAGCGCATCCACCAGTTGTCGGCCTTGTCTCCGGCAAGGCGGGTGCAGTGAATCCTGCTCTGTTGACCTGCTCCGAGACCAATTACTTGGCCATTGACTGCATAGCAGACGGAGTTGGATTGGGTATATTTCAGGGCGATCGTGGCAACGGTAAGATCGCGAAGTGCGGACTCGGGAAGGCCCTTGAGATCCTTTGGTGTGATGATGGTGTTGAAAGTGGACTTTGGAGAGATGACCGCGTCATTGCGGTGCTGCTGAAGCTGGACGCCATAGAGAGTGCGAGTTTCTTCCTCGGGGGGAGTGTAACTGTCATCCATCTCGAGGACGAGGTATTTTCCTCCTTTCTTCTTTGCGAGCAAAGCAAGAGCTTCGGGTTGGTATCCAGGGGCAATCACACCATCGGAGACCTCACGGGAGATGATCTTGGCGGTGGGTACGTCGACAACGTCCGACAGAGCAATAACATCACCAAAACTAGACATGCGGTCCGCGCCACGGGCACGCGCGTATGCTTGGGCCAACCCGGACTCATCAATTCCGGCAATGTCCTCAACCATGTAGACTTTCTTCTCCTTCTCGTTCAGCGGAATGCCGATAGCCGCACCCGCCGGTGAGACGTGTTTGAAACTAGCAGCAGCCGGATAACCGAGCGCCTGTTTCAGCTCCTTAACCAATGGCCATGCGTTCAAGGAATCCAGCAGGTTGATATAACCGGGAGAGCCGTTGAGCACTTTGAAAGGCAATTTGCCCTCTCTCATAAACGCAGCAGCTGGTTTCTGGTGGGGATTGGCACCATATCTCAGAGCAAGGTGCTGAACCCCTTCGCCGGCATACTGCTTCCTGAAGAATCCAGAGATAGCCTCGTCATAGTCTGCGGTGTGTTCAAATGCCTTGAGGGCATAAAGGCGACGGTTCTTCTCGGAGATCTCTCCCTTTTTCAGTTCGCCCAGGAACTCGGGGTAATCGTTCGGATCACTAAGGACCGTCACACGGGCATGGTTCTTCGCGGCGGCACGAAGAAGGGTTACACCACCAATATCAATTTCCTCCACGGCCTGAGCGATTGTAACATCTTCCTTGGCCACAGTGTCCTTGAAGGGATATAAATTGCAGACGACGAAATCGACTTTATTGATCTTCTGTTCGGCGAGATCCTTCTCGTCGGACTCGATATTCCGCGCTAGAATACCACCGTGAACGGCGGGATGGAGGGTCTTGACGCGGCCACCGAGCATTTCAGGGGCATGCGTAATGGCGGAGACGTCTCTATTATTTTCCTCGCAATGAGACAAATTATCATCGGATTTTATGCGAAAAATAAAATGAAAACGGAGCAGTGCTCGACGGCCTTTTTAAAGACGGCTCTCGCTCCGGGTTGAACTCACTCGACGGGAATTCCAGCCTCTCTGATCATCTTGGCCGTGCCGCCAGACGCCAGAATGCGAACATTGCTCCCGGCCAGGCCTCTGGCCAAGTCCAAGAGGCCGGTCTTATCGTAGACGGAGAGGATGGCTACAAACACAAATAATCAGTCAGGTGTTGTTGAAGCAGAATGCTAGGTGAACGAGAGATAGAAAAAAACATACCAGATTTCTGCGCCATGGTAGCGACCAGGAAGATCTAACTGCTCAAATTCTCCTCAATTGACTCGTAGGACGGGAGAATAGTCGACAAAGAAGAGAAAAAAAAACAACAAGGCAAGTCTTGTCCTTCTCCCGACTTTTCGTGTTTCCGTTGTGCCCCTCCACGAAAACCATCCCACATCGCCGGGCAAACACCGCAAACACCGCAAACAGCACAAACCCCCGATCCGGCCTAGCGCCGACCGGCACCAACGACAACTTTTCTTCCGCGAGCGAAGTTTTTTGTTTCTCCTCCTCTTCTTTTCTTTTCCTCTCCATGAACAACGCAAATTTCAACATTCTACAGTCCTCTCCTCGCAAAGGTTTCTCCTAAGAAACCCATGATGTCAGGAAGTATGCAAGATATACTTGTATAGAATGAAGAAAAAAACATTAAGCTTCGATCTTGGGTGCAGTGTCATTCTTGAATCTTCGTGGATGGGATTGCAATGATTGATGCTACATTCTGCTCTTTTTTTTTTCTTTCCAACCATGATGTCCTCCGTAGTCGTATTGTTATCCGATCCCCGAACAGGAGCTACAAGAGCCATACCTAGCTGCGATGCCACGCCTTAAAAAGACGTCTATAAGTCCCCGATTCCTCGCTCCGCCGTTCAACCAAACCCGTAACAATGCAGATTAATAATAATAAGTTAACGAAAGAGTCATAAACCATCGAAAGGGAAAAAAAGAAGCAGATCGAGTCTGTTAGGAAAACTCGGACGTTCTCGCAGGTCTCCTGGATCTTCAGTCCGCTAACCTCCTGCCGATGTTTCCAAAGCATACACAGCTGCAGAACAGCACGCTGGCAATCCACGTCCCCACCGCAACGCTCTCTTGGGTCATTCCCATGATATTTGTAGTAGATGGTATCGGGGCGCCATTCATCGTAGTGTCTGGAGAAGTAGCTGCAAGTGGGGACGAAAGCGACGCGGTCGCCGGTGAAGGTACAATCGTAGGATTGATCCCCAACAGGGCCAGCATGCCAGTTATCCCGACCACTGTGGAGAGGACAAATCCCGGCTTGGAGCGATCAATAAGATACCACAGCACAGGGTTGGCGAGGGCGAGGGTGAGGGAAACTTGTAGGGTGGACTGCCAGGGAAGCTTCCTCTATCAGACCATCGTATGGTTAGTATAAAATAGAAAAGAACAAAAAAAAAAAAAAAAAAAAAAAAAAAAAAAATCTGCGGTTAGGCCATGGATGGAAACACTCACGATTGCAAAAGCAATACCCACAAATGCCCCAATACTCCTCACCATAGGGCTCCATTCCAAAAGCCCATTCCCCTTAGCCGTCCTCGCCGCATTCTGACTTCTCCCGACAATCAAATCATCCCCCCAGAGAAGGTCAAACCAAGGCTGCAGGCTCCCCAACGCAACACCCGCCACGCCCCAAAGCGCCAGATATCCCAACGACCTCTGATCAAGATCAATATGCTCCATATTCACCGGCACCCGTCCGGCCACATTTGGATGGCCATGCAGATGCGTGATGATCCCACCATACGCCATGCCAAACAAGAACAGCAACACGCTCCTCCGGATCAGAGGCAGCACGTATCCCCTGAACCCATGCTTCTTGACAACGTGCGCCTGCAGGACGGTCTGCTCAGAGATCCCCTTGCCGGCGGGCGAGAAGTAATCCCGGCCTGCCACCGGCGGGGAATGCTGCAGGTTGGGCGTCTGCGCGCCGGTATCCCAGGGCGTGCCGGACTCGTCTCTCACGCCTCCGAACGCGGTGGGCGAGTATATCCCGTACAGAGTGGGCGAGGTCAGGTTCATCATGGACCGGGAGGATGTCAGATCATCTTGCTTCGGGTCGAGAGAGTCAGGCGGCGGTGAAGATTCATCGACGATCGGGGTGCCGGGCTGAGAGGATTCGGTAGAGGGAAGGTAGAAGCTCCGCGGACGAGATCGGAGGACACGATGTTCGGATTCCATATTTTTATTCTTACTTTTATTTTTTTTTTTTTTACGGTTTTCCGTGAATGTGATTTATGGCAGCTTAAAAGTAAATGTTCACTTGCTCTGCGGAATGCGAAAAAAAGCCTCAGGGGGAGGATGTCCGCTTGCTAGCGACTGTGGTTTTCTTCCCTGTCAACTTCGAACTGGTCACGACAGGCTTGGAGCACACAAAGGAACGGCCTCACGCGACGCTGCAAATGCCCCCTGCACCTGGGTTTGTCGCAGCCCGTGCCGTGCAGACTTTCTTTTCCGCCGATTTGTTGGGGCTCACCAAACCTGCTGAGTCATCGATGTTTCTCTAGTTACGGAGTACTCCGTAGTTAACCTACTAATCAGTTAGCATGTGATTGCAACCAGCCTAAGGTTTGGGCCAATGGAGATGGTGATTATGGCAATGATTTTGGATTTTCGAGCGGGATGTGGTGGAGGGCTCAGCTCATGTGCTTGTCATTTTGCTAAGCTTACAGCTCCAGCAGCAAGCAAAGTGCCACAGAGGTCCAAAGCTCCCAAATCTCTCAAAATCCGCCAACAAAAATTACAGAATCAATATTTATTCCTTCTTCAGGCTTAGCCTCATTTCGCTGCGATACCGTATTGTTGCTGGCTTCACTGATAAACCTCCACATCTTCCTGTATCAACCTGTAACCCCTATAGCGCTCCCTAAAAATGAGCATAAGAGTCCTTCGCAAGAGCCTTCGTGAGCACGTCAGCTTTATTCGCGTCGGTTCCAATGTGCTTGATTTGAGATTTTGTCGTTTTGAACCCAATGTCTCATCATATGGTGCTGGATCTCAATATGGCGTGCTCTTCTCCGGATTGGATTCGGCGCCCGTATTCTTGTAAGCTCGATTCGGATTCCAACTAGGGTTTGAGCTTCTTGTTGCATCTGTATTGGGCCTGTTCGTAAGACCCCTTCAACAGCTTTTACTCTTAGGAATTCGGTATAGAATGTCTCTTAATAGGCCTTCGAGGCCGTTTCTCCGGTAAGTCTGTTTCTTTAAACGCCATGTCATATCTTTTCTGTATGAATTCTCTCCATCGAGGCGTAATGTTCGCCTTAAGAATATCATGTAGCGTGTAGTCGGGGTATTTAAACCCAATAGACTCAAGTTCCATGCGGATTGCTAGGAATCTCTCTATATAATTCCTCTCTCCACCAGTAGACTGCGGTTGAGCTGCTCGCTTTTTATTCTCCTGCATTGTCGCAGGCGTATTAATTGCGTTCGTTTGGCCTGATATGTGGTCAGTTCGCTGTTTTTCCGGCTCCTGCAGCTTCCTCTCAGTATTTTGCATCATTCTGAGGAACATTTGGAATCTATCCTCTCCTCTAGGCTCTTTTTCATTCGGTTGGTTTCCTCTGAGCCTATCCGATCGTTTCAACTTCGTTTGAGGTTGTAGGAAGGGTTTCTGGAGCCTCCGGGTCAGGAGTTCGGTGCTCCATTTTGTTGTCTTGAAACTTGACCATGGCTTTGGTGCTGACAGGCGTTCGTTCGGCTCGCTAGCTAGCTGCTTGCTAGAAAGCTACAAGCTAACTCGCCAGCTACGCGGTGTAAGAGGCTACAAATCTCACTATCCACAAGGATAGCTATCGAAGGTGTTGATTGTAAGCTTAAATAACCAATTGAGCTGTAAATCAACCTTATATGCTTGCTCTTCAGTGCAAAGGGCTATAACCTGATGGAGGACTCGTATGTTCCGCTAAGCTACCTAAAGGGGGGATTTTCGTCTGCCATACCGGAACAATGAGCTTTTCGGGCAACCGTCGGAAAACGTTTATCCGACGCGACCCGTCGAACCAGTGGACGGATCGCAAGCGTCCTTTCGAGCAAATCGGCTCCACTGCCTCCAGTTGGAGACAGGCACAGACATGTTCAGCTGGGACTGAACAAAGGGAGAAGATGTGATCAGAGTGGGGGAGGGGAGGAGCGGGCGCAGCAGAGGGCAGGGCAGCAGCAAATCAGCCTATCTTGGCTGCTGATTCGCAGACGGTTTCTTCTGCCTTTCGCTTTTTCTGTCATCAAATATCAAAGTCAGTTCAATTGATTTCTTTGAAATAGGCCGATCACCCAGGAGGATGCGGATCATCGCTGACCTTGCATCCCTTAGGGCCAATTACAGGTCTAGGTGATCAGGATATTACAGTTGGTCTGCGGCACAGTTGGCACATTTTGCGGCTGCTCTAACATTCAACTTTGCTATAATATGTCTGATTCCCCAATCGAACAGCAATTTTCTTTCTAATTCCTACATACTTTGTCCCAAAGAAATTCCGCAGCAACCCTCACTGTTCCTGCAACTTGAAACTCAACCACTGCGGAAACCGGTGTATAAACCTCGAGCAAACATGCGAGGTCCGAGGTACTTGAGGCGCATACAGGACTATATGTTTTGGAAAAGGCGACTTCATTTGCTTCGAAGGCGCAGACAGCATGCCCATTTGTTGCGGGAATCGCAAGATTGCAATCGCGTTTTACCTTCAGTGGAATCCGACATTCGGCTGAACAATCAAACTGAGAAGTCAGGGTTGAATGTAAGATCTTGGATCCTCTGTCAGCCTGCCAGCATCATTCTAATCAGGCTGTGTACAGGATGCAGCAAGTCTTTCAGATGCCTCTGATGCTCCGCCCGACACTCGATCCGACACTCATTCTGAACCAGAAGAGATCAGGGTGCGGGAGATTATACAAGAAGCAGTGGCAGCTCTACAGAATGAATCACAACAGTATGAAGAGCCCGAATCCGAACCCCAGTTACAGACTATGTTACATCCAGTGCACCCGGTTGGCAATGGAGATTCCGATTTTCATTCACGACTAGAGGATCCGTTGGGCGACCAGCCAGCCGAGACCTACATCCCGACTACAATGAACGACCCGTCGGAGGTCCTAGTCCATGCGCGTGCAGAGCCTGATGAAATGCTGCACCACTTCACGCTCGCTTTAGGATTATGGTGCGAAAAATCAGGAATATCTCACCGACACTACCAGGCACTGCGGGAAGTCCTACAGATTCCCGAAGACATCGGTGTACTGAGATCTCTACCATTGAGGCTGAGCATGTTGAAGAAGAAATGCAGAGCTCATCGGACGGACATCAGGTGATCTATGTGTGTCATGTGAGAGAGGGTGCTAAATAGTTGGATTAAACTACCTGACAGCGTACAGTCTGGAGAAGATGCATACGAAGAGGTTACGGGGTGCGGAGTATGGAGTATAGCAGGCTAGAAATGTGTATTTTCAGGCAGTGGACACCAAACAGCACAATGTGCAGCGCCAACCTTCATACCCAGACATTAAATACATACAGGGATGGTCCTATCCACATTAGACGCAAAAAAGTAATACAAAGTAAAAAGTCACCCTTGTGGGCAGAAATACAGAAGGAAAAAAAAAAAAAAAAAGAGAAAGAAAAAGAAGAACAAGAACAGGAACAAGGTGGAGGTGGTGCTGAAAACTATCCTCGCTCAGGCTTCCAGCATGGTCTCGTCATCATCCAGCCGGCTAGCTTCCATACCATCTTCCGGCGACAAGCTGTCACCTCTGGTGTACCCACTCTCAGCAAGCTTAGACACTTCCATGTCCACGTCTGACAATTCTTCGGTATCATCCTCAACCCCCTGCGCGGGTTCGGGTGCAACTCCAATGCTGCTTGCATCGTCCAGACGGCTTCGCGTGTCGTGAGGACTCTCGCCGCTCAGGATGTCCTTGTCGGCCTCTTCAAGGAAAGTATCCTCACCACGCTCGGTGTCCTTGTCGTCCTGGTCAGCAATCATAGACGCCTCAGGTGTTTCCACCTGATCGTGCTCCTCTGTAGCCGCAGGCTTTGAGCCGAGGACCTTCGACAGCCGTGCTCGCGGGCGGCTTCTCTTGCTGCCCGCCTTCTCCGCGGAGGATTTCCTCAGAGCCGATGCACCCGCACGACCCGCGGGCTTCTTTATCTGCCCAGTTTCCTTGGATAAATCGGCCGCATTCTCAACAGCCTTCCTTTCCCGCCGTGGACCTGGTCTGCTTCTGGGCTTATTTGCAATGGGCATCGGTTGGCTGATCACCTCAAGCTCGCGGTGTTCCACAGTGGCACGGCGATTGTACTCGCCTCCCAAGCCGTTCGCCGGGTAGTCTTTATCGTCCGACAACACCGAGTCCCAGTCCCATCGTTGCAGCCGTCGAGCAACTTTCCGGATCATCGAAAAATAAAAGCTAGCCGCCTCTCCATAGTCTTCCTCCTCTTCTGGCTTCGGACAGATTCCGCCTTTCCCCCAGGAGTTCTCGTCGTCCGTGTCGTAGCCGGTGGGCAAGCTTTGCAGCAGCCGTCCTGCGCGAGCAAACGGGACTTCCTTCTCCCGACGCGTACGGAGAGAATTCCACGCATCCATCCGGCGCTGAGCGAGAACATAATCAACGCGTTGCTTCCGGTTTTGTTCGAGAGCTATCTGGTGCTGCGTCATTGGGCGTGGACGTCGAGAGCCGCCGGGGCCATTGGAATGCATATCGCCGGAGACGTACTGGTTCAAAATTGGATGTCCGGCGCCAGGGGGTGCGGGGGAGGAGGTATCGGGAGTCTGGTCCATCCTCGTTTTCAGGACCAGGCGCTGCGGCTGGCTGCCCGGTGGTCGATTGACAGACGAATCCCTCTTGGGCCGTTTGACACGAGCCCTAGAGGTCTGTGGAGTGTGCCCTTCGCCAAGGTCTTCGTCCTCAAGAGCCCTTTTTGCTGGGTTCAGCGGCGTGGACGCGTAGACATCGCTACGGCGACCACCCCTACCTCCCCTCGAAACATTGGGCGTAATGGCTACGTCCTCAGAAGCCTGATCATCGCTTGCATAGTCTTAAAAGTAACGATCATGTTAGCAACCTGTAGAAAGAAGCCAAAACCCTACGGTCAAAAATTGATAAAGAAATCGTGACGTATAACTCACCTTTCCTGGGGCGTTTGACATGTCGGAAAATAACGTCATCTTCCTCCAAGATACCTAAAATAAATCAGTAACAGTCGTCTAGTAAAAGGGTGCCGAGAAAAAAAAAAAAAAAAGAGAGAGAGAGAGAACATACGCTTCCGCTCCCGTTGCTTGTTTTCGCCATACTGGATTTCCTCGGGCGGGTCCACATTCTCGGCCTCGGCCTCTTCTTCGGTGAGCTCTTGCATCTCGGGAACCTTCAGCGGCAGCCCTTCACTCCCTTCTCCGACGGTACCAGGGCCAAATGGATTTTCCAACGCGGCTTTCTCGGAGAAGTCACTCTCCAAGTAGTACCACATCAGCCATAAAAAGGCTCTAGCGCGGCTCTTGCTGCTCAGAGTAGGTCGCATGACCAAGTCGAAGAAATCCCCGGGTGGTGGGAAGTGTAGCTCGGATATTCTGGGGGCATAATGGGATAAAACGAAGATGAGGTTGACCGGATTCGTGCGAGGGATTGCATGGTTCTTGATTTTCTCGATAGTACCTGGCTGTTCAACATCCTCCGATGCCCCCTTCAAGATGGACTTAAGACGGGGTGCGTCCTGTAGCTGCTTGTAGGCACTGGAATCTTGATGGGCCTGGAGGGACGGAATCGAATGGTAAGTTCGTAGCTGGGCACGCATCTCCGGGAAGACTTTTTTTTTTGGTCAAGAATTAGCAAGGTAGGCGTTTTGTGGGGGGGGGTGGTTTGCCTTGAAGATAGATTGGGACAAAAGCGGACTGGGACACTTACAGTTCAGTGTGGTATTCATTCTCCCAAAGTTAACTAGAAGGCAGACCATGGCCATGTTGATGGCGGCCGACCTCTCGTTCTGAAGCTTATCCTTGAGGATCTTGCTTGTTTTGCTGCTCTTCGCCATAGCATCTAGATAGATATCGGCAAAGGTATGGTTCTTATCGCCCTCGGGGAACCGAGTAAAGCAGGGGGTTTTGTCCTCGAACACGCATCTCAAAAACCGATATTGAATGTCCTTCCGCCAGAGTGGAATGCCGTCGTCCTTCTTGAGATGCCTGATTTTATTGCCAGAGTAGACGGATCCGATCGTGCCATTCGTCTGCTTTCTGGTGGTGGTGGTGGTGGTGGTGGTGGTGGCGGTGGTGGTTGCATTTTCGGTGCCCGTGTGGGACTCGGACTGCGGCCGCGGGGCGGAATTCCGACGGGTGTTCGAGTCTTCTGCCTGCACGCGACGCGAGCTCTTCACGGGGGTCTCTGTGGAGGCTGGTAGAGATTCACGGGACTGATCAGCTTTGTCACGATCGGGTTTCCGATGAGCTGATTCCGCCTCAGTTGGCTTGTCGGCCGACGGCAGACTTGAGCTTGGAGGTGGGCTTCTGGTCGCCAGCAACTCAGGAGCTTTGGAGGAAGGTTTGGGAGAGGTGGTGGTGGTAGTGGTAGCGGTGGTCACGTCGGGACAAGCAGCTTTGGACTCGGCCATTGTGGCATCCGGCGAAGTAGGCCGCTTCTCGTCCCCGTCTGTTGCTTCGACGCCATTCATCTGAGACTGTTCCGTGTGACGTGAGACGGGCTCCGGCTCAGGTTCCAGCTCCGGCTCAGGCTCAGGCTCAGGCTCAGGCTCGGGTTCAGGCTCGGGTCTGCGGGAGGGAGAAGGAGCAGCGTGGGCAGAGGCGGCGGGCGAGGGAGAGGTGTCGCGAGGGAGAAAAGCAGGGCGACTGGCCATCGTGAAGGGGGAAAGGGAGAGGCGGTGGGTTGGGAAGTTGGAAGAGAGGAGGAAGAGAAGAGGAAGAGAAGATGGGGGCGAGGTTTAAAGGGGAGGGCGTGGGTTAAATTAGTTAGCTAGTTAGTGGTACGGCAGAGAGTGTGTGTGTTGTGTGGGAGGACCCTGATTTACTGTCAGAGCTGCTTTGCTGCCACCGCGACTTGGCCGGACAAAGCGACTTCCCGTAGGTTTTTTTGGTGTTCGAAAGAAAAATAAAAATAAAAATAAAAATAAAAATTGAAATTGAAAAAGAAAGAATTGAAAAAGAAAAAGAAAAAAAAATGTATGTTAAAAAGAAATAATGAGTAGTTACAGAATAACTATGGAGTATTCAATATAGTTATATATCGATCAGGTACTCCGTAGTCTGCAGATCAAACACCGCAAATCTCAACTTTGTAAGTAAGTAACTAGTTAACTAGTTAACTGTTCAGTAAACATCCAAGTTTGATTTAAACCAACTTTGTTCAATTCAATGGATGTAAATTATAGCATCAGCACAGCTATCCTAACTACCACAGGAGAGGCCTACCAAAAGCTTCCACATGAACTTTCTTAAGATTACAGAGTACATTAGTATAGAGACCAGAACTTGATATCAGGGGAGAGTCCAGGCTACATGTGTGGGAATATGAAAGTGATAATACGTCAGGGCAGAGGAATGCTACAGTCTGATAAGACTATAATGAATAATAATAATAATGCTACAGTCTGTAAGTATCTCCAAGGGCATCCACAAAAAAAAAGAAAAAAGACCATCAGATAATGATCCACAGATTCGGCTTGTTTAGCAGATCAGCGAAGCGCGTTGCACGTACCGGAGTGTAGTCAGATCCTCGGCCAAGGCACGTTCATAGTTCCCTTGCTGGTCTTGTCTTCAACTCTGCTAATGATATTACATGCATCGCCTTCTGCTGGGGAGAGCATTTCACCATCACCACGTCTGGTCCATTTAACTCTATCGTCGGAAATCATGGTGGTCATCAATTGTCATTCCCATAGTTATAGCTCCCGCGACTGATTCAACACCTCCCCACAACACAGCCGAAGACATGCCATCCAAGACAGCTGCCTGGTTAATTAGGTTTCAGCAGAAGTGTCTGATTTGGCTATTCCGTTTGTCCAAAGCAAGATATATATATAAAATATATACGGAGCATACGGAGTAATATATATATATATAATATATACGATGTTATATATAGATAGGGAAAGGCTAGAAGGGGTTAGATCGATTACGTATTGGGTAAATCAAGCCGTATCATCCCCCACGCTATCCCCAAAATGGCCGATTCTAGACTGCAGCCTTACCGAGATAGGCAATTGACCAGACTCCACTCTACCAGAACGGGTTAGCTGGGAACGGAGCAAAGGCTTGATCTGGCAAGATGTATGTAACAGTACATCATACATACCTACGGATGCGGTTTTGCTGGTCACCTCTGCTACTATGAGAAGGCCCGTCGAAGAGGGAAAAGAAGAGTAAAAGAGGATAAAAAAGAAGAGAGAAAAAGAGGAAAAAAAGAGAGAAAGAAAAAAAGAAGAGCAAAAGGAAAAAAAGAGAGACAAAACAATATCATTCATAGTCTAACGCTCCAAGGTCAAATTTGCTAATCTACACGCTTTGCGCCGCGAACCGTCGCCTCACCCAGGAACCGATGGAGTGCAGCCATCTGAAATACTTCCACATGCTCCACCTTTCACTGGCCTTTTCAACCCGGTGGTGAGAGCTCATCACCGAGAACATGAATGCACCTCCGTGGCTGACCGCGCAGATACGCTCCGGCCCGCAGCGCCAGATACCGAGCCCGAGAAATTTCCCGTGCGCCGCCATGAACGTCCCTATCATCCGGTTGTGCTGCAGACCACCGTCCTCACTCAGCAGGACGGGATACGTGGGCTGCCTGGCCTGGCGCTGGACGATGTAGCTTGTCTCGCCCGGCGTGAGAGCCGCTCGCCTCAAGCCATCTAGCTTCGCCTTCCATTCCCCTTCAGACGCTTCGTCCCCGAAGATGATCCCGGCGCCCTTGCCGCTGCGGATCGGCTTTAGCAGGTAGCCATCCTTTGCCTCCGGCTGGCTCTTGCACCGGAGCACAAACTCCTCCAACTCCGGCGAGCCCGGTATGAATGTCTCCGCGATGCCGTCCCGGAGCACCCGCGCCTGGTCTTCGCTCAGAACGCCGTGCTGGCCGACCAGCGCGTCCAGCTCCTGCAGAACGATGCCAAGCATTCTCTTATCGTGCACCAGAAACACCGTCCGCAGGTCGTTAAAACAGCGGAGAGCCAGCTGCCGTAACATTTCGGGAGACAGTGCTCGGAGTTCGCGTTGATGCAGCTCCAAGCCCACCTGGTGGATCTCCTCCAGCACCTCTGCGTTGTGGATAAACCTGGCCGACCTGTGACTCGCGGGCAGCTTGCGAGTCTCATCTTTGGCGAGCGCACACAGCTTGTATCCAAATTCAGAGTCTTCACATGGCAGGAGGCGCAGGTCGTCCGGTGTGATGAATTTGGGGGGGGTCCCCGTCCGCCGTTCCACCTCCACGGCAAAGAGGTGGATGTCAATCCCGTACTCTTCGCCTTTCAGGAGGTGGAGTGGGCGGGTGGGATCGAACAAGCTGAGCAGTCCCTTGACAACCTGAATATCTTTTTCGTCAGCAAACTTGAGCTTGTGGGAAGGATACGCATCTCGTTGGGGAGGGGGTGGGCGTCTACCTGGTCGGGCTCCAAGACATTTAAGAGGCCCTTTTCTTCGTTTCCCATGTCGCTCAGGCCCTGCTGCCCCGCTGCGCTTACGCAGAAGCCGTTGAAAGAGAAACGAGCATTGATCTCGCAGATAACAAACTGCTCTTCGACTGACCCGGGCTCGGCACCAGGGGTTGCTTCGTCGATGAGAAAATCGGGCCGCCAGGATCCAAGACACTGGTTGTATGGACGGACCGCGTCGGCAGCTTCATGCGCCATCCACTAGTAGTTTTAATTATCCAGGGTTAGAGAGATATAAGGGACCAAATGCGAAAAGCACAGAAGAGGGAGAAGAAGTAGGCGCGTTTTACCCGTAAAAGATCCTCTTCCTGTGGCTCCAAAGGCATCCTCTCCGGAAATTTAGCCACGCTATCAGTCCACCATCTTTCCACGATATTGGTGATGGCCAGAACCAGCGCCTCATGCAGAGCCTGAATATTCTGGTAATGCTGCGGGTGAACCAGTATGGGATGTGGGCAGGCAGCCTGATAGAATCCTTTGGGCCATGAGTCGCGAGAATACTGGCGGAGAAGGTGAGATTCCATCTGCTCTCTCTCTTCCGCTCGAACCGCCACATTCGCACGCAGCGGCACGACGGCCTTCTCGCTGTCGGTTTTCAAGAAACATATCTGCTGGAGACGTGCGCGATCGGCCTGCTCTATCTGAGACTCCTTCAAGACCGCCATGGTGTATGATCGTTCATGCCCTGAAGACTGCGCGAGCTTCACACCTACAAGGCTGAGACGCCGAGCTCATTCTCTCTTGAGTATGTAATTTTATTTTATTTTTTATTTTATTTTTTTATTTTTTCTGGTGCTGAAGAGTCCAGCCCGCGATTATTTGGTTATTACGCCATGCCGCCCGATAAAAGGGGGATTCGCACGCCAGCCCAGGCGATCGTTGCTGCAGGCCTGGGGTGATGTGCATCGGGAACGGGGCGAGCTGGAATGTCCGGAGCAACGACGGAGGAAATCAGTACAAAGTTTGTTTTCGTTCTCCACCACCCGAAGGCGGATGCATCCGATCGATTACGGATTGCATTTCGGGCGACCACTCCCTGGGGCCCAGCTCTCCACCTCGTTACATAGCCGACGATGCAGCAAGGGTCAGGGAGATAATGCCGCCACTGGCCACAGTCCCAGGACACACACACACACCCCGGTCAACGATCAACACCCCACAAAGTAAGCCAGCGCCATTCACCCAGCTTCATCACACATCCCGTCGCCTGGGTTCGTATCCTGATCACGAGATTCCGGGTGATTATCAGATCTCTTGCTGAGATGTTAATTTTTGCCACTTCGTTTGCCTCGATGTTCCGGGCAACGGCACGGATGTCGTGCGGCGGTCGTCGCTGGATTGTGAATCACTCCACTCACTCGTGCGACGGATTTGCTAATTAACAGAGTCTGATAATCACGTATGCAAACGGATCATCCACCGGGACTGTGAAGCAAAAGAAACGGCGACATACATGAAAGAGCGGATATTAGGAAAAACAATCTCGTTTGCTAATTGACATTCGCGCGAGACTTTGTGCTACTCGGGCAATTCGGTTTCTCGCGTTGGGCAGGAATAATACGGGCTGCGGGGGGTTTTGCATTCGGCAGAACCGCTGGCGTCAGTTGTCTGCAGCAGGCTTGAAGGGAGCTCTCCCGGAATTAGTTATCTGGACTTGCGGGTGTGCCTGTCCTGCTCCCTGCCCGATAAGTGTGCCAGCAGTTTGCCAGCATGCCCGTGGCAACCCCGAAATCAAATCTCTATACATTTATTTGAATATTCCGAACCGTGCTAGAGTAAAATAGCTCTTGGGGCCCTAGATCTATCAACACTACGCCCGGGTAGCCAGTGAGGCCCATCCAAGCAACCAGCATACGTCTCAATCTCTGATTGCCCGTCTCCGCAGGCAGTGAAGCAACACGTCGAGCCGCTCAATGCGTTCTTCGCGAATATGTACAGCATTATCCAAGGGTGGCAATATATCACGGTCAGCTAACAAACCTTTTGACCCAAAAATCAGCCAAAGGGTTGCTACAAAGCTTTTACCAAATCATACAGAATGCCGTGCTCCTTGCTTGTAGAAGGAGCCTGTTTTTCCCACCCAACATCAGGTTCCATGCCCCGTCAAACCCTCCAAGCTCCCATGCATTTGTTAAAGCCCGAAACCCCCCCTCCCCGGTTGCGGTCAATGACGCGACCCTGAAAGAATGTGCAGCGCTCTGAGCCCCGCAAGCAATCTATCGACCAGTCCAACACTGGAGTTGAAAGCCGCCAGCTCATCATTGACTTTGAAGCCAATCCCTTCCCTCTCGCTAGAAGTGCTTTCCGCCAGGCCGACTGCCCTTACTAAATAATGTTGCAGTGCTCTAAGCGTGCGAAGCGGGCTCGACGCCGCGATTGAGACGTCTTCGGGGGAGTTGGATATCCATATTGTCTTTTTAAGTTTTGGGAATCCGTTAAAGTCAGACCCAGTGACGTGCGTGTATGCTTGCTTAATCGTCAGTTGCAGCTCTTCCCTTGCGTCAACACCAAAGAAAAAAAAGAAAAAAAAGAAAAAAAAAGAAAAGAAAAGAGGATGAAGAAGAAGAAAAAAGAGGGGAGAGGAAAAAAGCTTTGCGAAAGAGCTGCTTACCTCCCATGAAAGGAAAACAGAGCCAATCCCCGACTTTTGCCCGCCGTGGGAGCACACAGTTTGTGGCTATCTTGTCAAAACTATCGCACGTCTGACCCCAGACAGTATATGGATCTCCGTTATCAGCAGCTGATACGTATGGCGTACCCGTACAATCCAGTAAAATAGGTTGTGGTACCACCTGCTCGGTCAGAGCGTTTAAGAAATTGTGATATATGCCGTCGTTAATATGTATGTCGCCAACGGGAAGCTTTTCGTCTGCGCCGATTCCATTACCTAAACACGCACGAGGACGAGTCCCGAGCACTCGACATACAAGGTAGAAAGCTTCTTCTGCAAAATAACGGCCAGGTTCAGCGAACCATCTGAGATGTTTCTCATCTCCGAAATACTGTCGAATACTCGTGCGTATCGCCGTTGCTGCGCTTTCAAAATTTCCAAGTGAGAACCCGCCTCCGATATCAATCGTGCGGATCGGATGTCTCTGGTCCTCTCTGAGACTCTGGTTAAAGTCGTAGACCTCGCGAGTGAACGCTATCGCCTGCCGGTAGGCATCGAAGTCTGCTGCGCTTGAGCCCACATGAAAACAGAGCCCAATCACCTTCATGTTGAGTTCTTGTGCTAATACCAGGAGTTCTTTGGCTTGTGGTAGTTGAACTCCATATTTGGAGCCGAGCCGGACGCGGGAAGATGGGTCATCTGCCCATAGGCGAAGGTACAGCTCTGCGTTGGGAAAATAGTCAGCTAGCTTTCGAAGCTCGTCCTCCGTGTCAAACATCGTTTGGGTCACGCCATGCTCTTTGGCATAGAGAATTCCGTCTTCCGACTTGAATGGTGCGGCGTAGAGGATTCGATGTGGCTCAACGCCGAGGTTTAAAATCCGTTGCATCTCGGATTGTGAAGCGCAGTCAAATCCCAATCCATGTTCTGCCAGAATTCTCAAAAAACGAAGGTTGTCGTTGCACTTGACAGCTGCAAATTGATGTTAAACCAAGGCATATTTCCGGGCTCGGGAGCGCCTGCAAGCTCACCGTAGAAAGGCTCTACATCAGAGAGCTTGCTTTCCCACAATTTCAGCTGGTTGTGAATGAAAGGCTCATCGCCAACGAAGAACGACTCTTTGTGACGGATACCTGTTTGCAGATGCTCTTGGATCACTTTGTGAACGGTGGATGGTATGACGCCCCCCGCACAGGCAGGCGGGATTCCTTTCTGGTTAACGACCGGCATCGAGGAGAATCACAAAGCTAGGCGATAAGACTGGGAATGCAACTGTTGCCCTCAAATAACTAGCGTATTTCACCCGATCCTTATATTTATGCAACGTTTGAACAGCTCGTTTTGAGTTCCCCTCTCACATATGTAGTAGCTTGGATGCGAATCCTATGTTTAATCATCTTGATCTTCGCCTCGTTTAACACGGCCGACGAATTGTTCCCCGAGAAGGCACGCCGGTTGTTGCCCAGGTCTGAACTTTCCGTTGATTCGTAACGCCTTGTCCGGAGGATCGCCACGATGTCCGCTTTTAGAGGCTTGCCGGCACTTTTGTTGCATTTTTCTTTTGCCTCTCTGCTTTCAATTCTTTTGTGGCTAAGTGCTAAAAGAATCCTTGTTCGCATTCAATTGTTTCTATCAGTGCATGCCGCTTGTCGCACCCTTCCCCCCCTTGCCCCGGCAGCAATGAGGCTGTCTGAGCATGCAAGGGGGACGAGGATGATAGGTCTGATCGACGACAAATTCACTTTGATGGCGCCGACAAGCCAAACTTTGATCGTCCTTTGCCAGGACGATTTAAAATATTGACTGCAGGCATAAGGTGCTGAATTCCTAAAAAAGTTTGCACATCCTCGCCGACGCTCCCGGCATGCGGGTGTCGGTGCTGGCTGAGCAAAACTCTTACAACGGTAGCTCGTAATATTTGACAAGCGATCGTGAAGCTGCCCGGGTTGCGAGCTTCCGGGATTGGCTATATCGTCGGTAGGCTCTGAATGACGAACTGCGAAGATCAAATACCGCATAATATAGTAAACCTTCCGTCAAGAAGGAGGCGCGGAGAAAAAAAGAGCTCTTAAATCCCTCCGTTCTCTCACTAAGGCATCCGACTAAAGATTCACAGGCAGGGAAAACATACAAAGTGTGATTCGGCATAATGTGGAGTAACCTTCGCAGAGCGTACAGGCCCGCGATGGGAGCTATTGGGAGGTCCCATTCGACTGCCCGTGAGTGTCGCACCCGCAGGTATCCTCCGGCATGGAATGATTACACAGAACACTTATCCAAGTATCTAGGTTATCATAGCTCCATCTCGCAGCTTTATGCCTCTGATATTCGGTGTGCAAACGAACAAGATCACGTCCGTTCCGTTCACGAGCTTCTGGGTGAGACGGGGGTCTTGAAGATCAAACTCGGTTTCGAAGACGATGAAAGTAAATATATGCAACAACTGATCCTGAGCCTACACAAGCACCACGGCCACGGCTTGCCCATTACCCATTCTGCGTCCCGAGGCTGGTTCTGGGACGTCCGACCTCTTCCCGGACAGAATCAACAAGCAGCTTCGAAGCCGGCTCGCTCGGAAACTGCCAGAGACTTCCCCTGGCACACAGACTGCAGCTATGAGCACCTTCCACCGCGGTTCTTCGCTTTGCAGGTACTACAGCCAGATCGTTGCGGCGGAGGAACGTTGTCGATCCTCGATGCCGATAAAATTGCAGGTCTATTGTCTCCAGCAACAAGAAGATCTCTCTCCAGACCCGAATATCGCATAACCGTCCCGGCAGAATTCATCAAGAGTGACGAGAGACATATTACTGCGCCTCTTCTCAGCAAGGATAGCGGCAGCGGTGCAGCTGAGCTACGTTTTCGCGAAGAGATCCTCGAGCCCTTGACCAACGGCGCGAAATTGGCGTTGCAAGAGTTTGGAGAGAGCCTTCAGAGCCCCAACGCGAAGGCTGCGACACTACACCTGACGCCCGAATTGCTTCCTCGAGGGTCGATTATTCTCATTAACAATAGACGTTGGCTTCATGCGAGGAGTGAGGTGAAAGACCCACGTCGCCACCTGCGCCGAGTGCGATGGGACGCCAGGCCGTTTGCTGCTGAAGAGGCATTGGGCCTATGAGCATCTTGCGTCAACGGTGATGGGACTCGGTTGATTGTGGGGGGTTGACGACATAAACCGACATCTACTCCGTATGTTAGCACATATCTGACCACTTAGATCAATGATCGACAAACTACCTTACGAGGTACGACGGAGTGACCCCTGCCATCCACCCGAGGCGATCTTGGAGTCCAAATTGAGTTTGATTCAAGGGTTTCGGAGGATAGTTCGAATAGGCCGGCTTAGCGTTGACACTTTTCAGGGAATATTTGGAGCAGGGAATATTTGAGTTTGGCTGGAATCAAAATTGCTGGTCCATCCGCCACTGATCGAGCTGGTGCCCAAGTGTGCAGTAGTCATAATATAGGGGAAGCAACGTCAAAAATTGACTCCACATCCCGCGAAAAAAAGAAAAAGAAAGAATATCCATCGTATGCACGCAAGTCACACAGCCCAGCCCGATGTGTTCAGTCCACGGCTAGCTGAAGGTGGCGAGAGCTCGTCTAACATATTGCCGCCCGTCACTCTTCACGCAAGCCACAAAAAAGAAACGTGCCAGAAGGATGATCGGGTGAAAGACAGAGAGCACATCTGCAAATGCATATTTCCATTTCAACCGAACCATTGCTGACATGCTTGTCTTGACACCCAAGTGGCTGCGCATGTTCCTGCGCAGCTCCGCTAAGAGGGGCGCGCAATGCCATCCCTGGTCAGACTCCGAGTCTGCCTTCGTGCAAATCGGGCATGGCGACCCGGAGGGCCGGAGCACAAAGGGAATGTGCACGAGTGAGCCGGGCTATATGTAACGACACTAGGCACGCCCGGGGGAAACAGACGCTCTTTGGCCTGTTGGTCTGTCCTCATCTCGTCAACCAAGGAAACCGTCATCTTTGAAGAGAGAGAGAAAAAAAAAGGGAAGAAACGCTATATGAGAAACAAACCAGCATGACGCCAGACCACTACTCACTCCAGGATATCCTTGCGATGGCCATGGTCCATCCGTTCTACTCTGCTGCAGAATATCCCCCGACGCCAGAATCTGCCTCTAAGATCCTAGCAGCCGCCCGGCTCAATAAACAAAGTGTCCTCGACCTCAAGCGTTTTCCTCTTACGCGGAAAGAGTCGCTGTAGGTACATGCATGCTTTGGATCCTCAGTTCCCGCTCACCTTCTTGCTGTGCGATTACACCTTTGCTAAAAAGAGCGAATAAAACCGCGTAGGTACCGCACAATCCAGAGACTATCTGCGGATCCTGACCCTCGAAATGGATACCGCCAGCAAGCATATATCAGCGTTACCGGCGGAGGGTCAGGCGGCGTGCCCATGGTTTTTGTCACGGACTCTGTTGAGAATAGACGGCAGCGGGACGTGACAGGCGCACTGGTCAAACACTGTCGTCTGATCGAGCCGGGCGATTGGATGCTCACGATGCACATTGCAGGGCATTTTTACCGGTATGACTACCCCGCTAACATTCATGTATCGATAGTATTATGGAGCTGATAGGATCTAGGGCTCTTGATTTGATAACGGAGATAGCTGAACAGGCCGGCGCAGGCGTCTTCTGTGCCGGAATCTACATGCCCTATGCTGATGTTGTCAAAGCGCTCATACAGTATCGAATCAATGTCGTGGCTGCAGATGGCAGCCAGATCGTCCAGCTCGCAGCTTACATATCTTCGCTTCCTCCCGAGGAACGAGAGGGCATCAATGTTGACAAGGTATTATACACATCTGAACCCTTGGTTCGCACACAGAGGGCTTTCATCAGGTCTGTCATGGGCCCGGTTACCATCTGCTCCATTCTCGGCAGCTCAGAGGCCGGGGCGTGGGCCGTGGCGAATTTAGACTTGACCGGTGACACAGACGACGACTGCACGGAATTTATCTTCGACACTCGATCAATGGTGATCGAAATCCTTCCACTCTCCGTAGAAGACCCCGACCAAAGCGAAAACACTGTCAGCCTAGCTGAACTCCCCGAAGGTGAAGCAGGAATTGTCGTCCAGACTTCGCTGCAACGATTACGGAATCCACTGGTGAGATACGTGTCCGGCGACGTGGGATCCCTCCATCCGTTGCCAGCGAGCGCCCTGGCTAAAATCCCGCCCGCCGAAGCTCAGCATATGAAGCTCCTGCGATTGTACGGACGTGATCGTCGCTTCAGCTTCAAGTGGTCCGGCGCATATTTTGCCTTTGATCAGGTGGAGGCGCTGATGCGCACCGAGAATTACGGCATCCTGCAGTGGCAGATCGCCCTCAGCTACACGGATGGCACTCCGGAGACTGCCCTAGAGATACGTATCTTCCGCCCGGACGCGGACAATCCCAAACTCGTATCTACCAAGGAGCTGGTCGCGATACTTGAGAAATTTTTCGGGCTGCTTCCCATTAACGAGATGCTTTTCCGTGTGACTTTCGTTCAGAGCACCGAAGAGCTGGAGCGGAGCAAGACCGGAAACAAGGTGATCAAGTTCGTGGACCGTACAATGAAGGAATAAATATTGAACGGGAGATGCACACAACCTGGGCTCTCCCTCCCCTTTCACACAGATCAATATCATTGAGACACGTGGGGAGTTGGGAGTCATAAAAGCAATCCCAGCCTTGCATCTTTCCTTTGCCAGCATTAGAGGGGAATCGGAGACTCCTCAACTAGTATTTTGAGGATTGATTTCAGAGACAATTATGAAGAATGGTTTACGAATGACATACCCAAAGAGATAGTAAATAGAAGAAATCTCTTGACACTCAGATATTATTCCGTTACCGTATGTACCATTTTGCTAACTAATAACTACCCAGTAAAAGCGAGCGGAAAGAATCCGTCCTTTTTTTTTGTTGGTTCTTTTTGTCCCTTTCTTTTTTTTTTGTTTTTGCTTTTGGTTTTATCCTTTCTTCATTGCTTTGCCCTCATGAAGAATAACTGGAATCACACCGTCCGCCCTGTATCATCGGGGCCATTTTCCAAGCTCGAACAAATTAGAGATCCGAAGAGGTCAAGACGCCGGTGAAAACCTCCAAGAGGGCGAGCAAGGGATATTAGCATTCACCCGGAAGGTAAAGAGAGCAACAACGGAAAAAACCACACTCCGCCTCCCAGAACTCATTTGCCAATGACGACGCGCTTCGAAAAAGGACGATGACTCGAGAAAGCCCGCGCGCGCGCTTTCAAAGTCGAAAAATCCATTCCATCTGAGTGTGCGTGTTCAAATCTCCACTTTAAATTTCTCCTTCGCATCATTATGATAAGAGTTCGAAAGAAAACGAAATCGTCCCAAAGGATATCGAAAACTTTTTTGTAGGCTAATAAACCTCATCGAACCCCGCAGATGGAAAGAGAAAATCTGTTTCCCGCCCAAATACCGTGGGCCGGCTGGAAATTCAAACCAACGCCGCTATGCAATGCAAAACAAAAAGAACCCGTCTATTAACCGCCGTCGTTTCGCCCTGCGTGACAACCGAGGAGGGACACTCTTAGTGCCATGTAAACGTTCCGAAGCCCCAAACGACATCTATTAACACCAAGATCTCTCCGTCCAGTTATTTTTTTTTTTTTTGGAAGGCGAAAAGAAAACAGAGACAAGGAAACTGTCACTCTTTGAAGGTCAGGTAGAATCGAAGCACGTAAACCGATGACGAGCTGTAGAGACACAGCGGTAAAAGGTCATAACGAGAACAAACATAAAATACAGACAACACCCCGTGAAATCAAGAAAAAAGGAAAAAACTGCAGTATAAGAGATCTATTTAAAACGCACGGATCGATGCAGTTCGGGCAAACATTAGATGGCATGAAAATCGTAAAGAGCACTTTTTTTTCGGAGGGAATCAAAAAGCACAAATGCGTTCCGGCTCGGCAATTCGCTCGAGCTAGCTCCTCTTTCAGCAGCGGCTGAACGACATAGGGGGTATCAGAATTAAGCGGTCGTAGAAAGAGGAAAAAAGAGCAACGCTATCTATGATGTTCATGCAATCTCGGTTGGACAAGCCCAACGACCACCATGCGAACAAGGCCCGGAAGCAAAGAAGATCGGACTGCATCGAAGAGCGCATCTAAACCGTAACCGAATCGACGAGTAACGAGCAAAAGTAACGAATAGCAAAAGCATCGATGAAAAAGAAATTCGTCGCAGGTCATGACCAAAACCATTCAGAGACAAGAATTTGGGAAAAAGTTAAGTCTCGGTCTGATCTATTCTTCTTATGTCGAGACGAGACTCGTCAAGAAGAGAAAGATTCAAACCAAGACCCGCATGGTCATGGGAAGAAACTGATGAATGGTTTTACCACCAAGAAGATGGCCCGGTGGGACCAGATGGGTTGCCGTAGCTGCCTCCACCGTAGCCACCGCCGTATCCGCCGTAAGATGGAGCACTGCTATAGCTTCCACCATAGTTGTTGGCGCCACCACCATAACCACCGCTGTAGGATGGAGTACCACTCATTGGAGGACCGCCACCGCCCATGCGACGCATATCACGAGTGGCATTGGCACCACGGCCTCTTCCACCACCACGACCGCCGCCACGGCCGCCGTATCCGCTGCCCTCACGAGCAATATTTTCCAAGAAGGCCGGGACTTCCTGGTGAGCTTCTTTGAGTAATTCGATCAAGTCACGGACGACACCGCGGTTGCCACGGTTGAAGAAAGCTGTGGACAGACCGGTGTTACCAGCACGACCAGTACGGCCGATACGATGGACATAGTCATCGATGTCGGTGGGGAGATCGTAGTTGACGACGTGAGTAACATTAGGGATATCGAGACCACGAGCAGCAACAGCAGTGGCAACGAGGATAGGGCAGCGGCCGTTGCGGAAGTATTCAAGAGCCCGCTCACGCTCACGTTGAGTGCGGTCACCGTGGATAGCAGTTGCAGGGAAATTCTGGTTGATAAGGAACTCAGATAGAGAATCAGCCATGCGCTTGGTCTCGACGAAAATGAGAGTGAGTCCAGTTCCATGGGTGTGGAGGATATCAAGCAGAACGGAGCGCTTGTCGGCGTCTTCGACGTA